GTACTGTGCTCTCTCTCTGTCTCTCCCTTTCTTTCCCCCTCACTCTCCCTCCCTTTCTCCTCTTGCCCCACTGTGTCCCCACCTACCCAAAAAAGCCTAAAAAAAAAAAACCCTGCAAGTGAAAACAGAAGAATGGAAGAGAGATTGCCACCACCTGCTGAATTGTGGGGCTTTGCCCAGCTCTGCCCACCCGTGTGTCTACCTGCATATCTGTCTTCCTGTCTGTGCTTGGGTACCCCATATCTGTCCCTGGCATCTGCATGTCACCCATCCTCTTTGCTTCCCAGATGTTCTTCCTCTCGGTTCAGGTCAGGCCCCAAAATGGCTGGCCCCATTCATGTTCTTCCTCCTGTTCTCACTTCTCTGTCCCTACCCCACAGTGGCCTTGAACCATGTGCTGGCCTCTTCCCTCCACCAGCATGAAGCCACTTTCCTCCCTCCCTCCCTGCTTTCCTTCATGACAGGCAAATTCTCATTAGGTAAAAATTGCTTTCTTTAGGGGTCTGTCCCTAAAGTGAGAACTGTCTGTATTCTCTATTCCCACTGCTAGGTGAGAAATTGCTTGCTATACAGTTGGCCCCTTCAGGGAGCTTTTGGCTCCAAAAACCTAGCTATTATTTAATCTCACCATCCCAAGTGCCTGCCAAAGCTTTTTCAGGGAACTCCAAAAACTTAAGCCCCACAGTGTTATAAGGAACCCCAGGGAGAGATGGCAAGATGGCTTAATATACCTCTTCCAGAGCTCAACCCTATCCTAGGCCTGTCTCAAAAGAGGTGGACTTTCATGTGACTTAGTGAACAGAGTCCATCAGGCTACCTAGGTGATAAATGTGGGCTCTTTATAACTCATCATTAAGCCTCTGAGTTTCCTTTTTAGATTGTGGGGAAGCAAGTGGTGGTAGCTTAATATGTATTACATGTGGAATCATCTGAGTTTTCTCCATCCAGTGTGTTTATTAAAACTAAACTGAGCATGTTGGACCCTGGATTTTTGTAGGTTTGATCTTCCTTTAGGACCTCTATCATCATGGCCCTGTCCAGTGAAGTCAGCCCTTATCAATCCGAAGCATAGCTCAGATCAGTCCAGGGATTCACACTTGGGATAGGACACTGTGAAACATTTGTGGACCATAAAAGTCAACAAAAAAATCAATTTACTTACAGTAAGTCATTTCAAAAGGTGTAGTTACTAATTAAAATTGATGCTGCTCCTTTTTTCATCACTACCTCCACCTTTACTAGGGTAGCAGTGCTAAGTCAGAGAGCCATGCCAATGGTTCAAATCATAGTTCTCTAGACCAGGGCTTCTTAAAGTTTTTCCACTCATGACTCCTTCACCACTTCTTAAACTGTGGGTTGCAACCCCATATGGGGTAGCAACCAACCAACCAAGTCCTTTTGGTCAGTCTCCTTGCTTCCCTTAAAGGAAAAATAGCCTCACCTGCATAGTACAGATGCTACTCCTACCACAGAGTATGGGGAAAATGCCTCTTGTTATTAATATGGCAATATATAATTTGTATATTCATGTATATTTACTAGCAAGCAATATCAATTCATTTATATTTCCAGAGGAAGGATGACACTTGGAGTTACAGCATACATATCCTTATGTGATTCATAAGGATCATAGTAACTGAAATGAAAGACTATGAAATAAATTGCAGCATTCTTCGTTGAGTGAACCTTACAATGTTCTCTTGAGGGTAGACCTTTAGATGTACCAAACTTTTTCCTTTTACTTTTCCCATATGAACTTGGAGATATGTCTCTAGCTCTACTTTGTTTCTTACTTTCCCTCTCTCTATTCACCTGACTTCCCACTTTATTTTCCTTTACACACACACAAAAAATATTGATTCACTCATAGGAGGTCATGGGATTTAATCCATTAATTCAGTTCTTCACTTCTTCAGATTCTTTAAATTGCCCCTTAAATCTTTAGTCTCTTAAACCCTTTTCTGCATTGATGATGATTCTTTATTATTCTTTTACCCAAGTTCTTTTTTTTTTTTTGTTCAGTTGTTTTTGGTCATGTCTGACTCTTGGTGATTCCATTTAGGGTTTTCTTGGCAAAGATACTGGAATGGTTTGCCATTTCTTCTCCAGCTCATTTTATAGATGAGGAAACTGAGGCAAACAGGGTGAAGTGATTTGCCTAGGGTCACACAGGTAGTAAGTGTCTGAGGCCAGATTTGAACTCAGGAAGATGAATCTTCCGGACTCCAGGCTCAGCAGTTGATGTTCACTGTGCTACCTAGCTGCAGTGTTGTTGTTACTTTTGCTAACAATAACTTTGGTAGTGGTGGTGGTGGTCCTTTGTTCTCAAAGAGGACCAGTGACATCCCTAGGGTGATGTCTTGACTTGCTAAAAGCATGAAGGAGTTAATTCCATTGGTATTTTCTTGATAATTGTATTTATCTTCAATTTTTTTGTGTTTCTGTTGTTTTGGGGTATTTGCAAGTCAGATATTCTGTTCATGTCTTTTGTTGATGAGTTGAGGTGAGTATTTCAAAGGTTGCCTCTATTTTCTTGAATGTAATTTTCATTAATTATTAGGCTTATTTTTGCAGGATATGTTAATTTTGGGTTGTGGTTTAACTTCTTTTGTTTTTTGGATTATACTGTTATTCCGTTCTCTTCTCCAATTTCATGCCTGCATGACATTAACCCATATCTGAGTTATTGGAGTTGTAGTTCATTCATATTTCTCTGGGCTGCTTGCAATTTTTGTTTTTTATTGAAATTGAGAATTTTAGCTACAGTATAATTTGGTAATGATCTATGGATTTGATACAGAGGTGCTTTATCATCTGTATTCAAAAGTTCTGTACAGCTTTCTTCTGTTTATTTCCTACAGTATTATTTTCAGGTTTTTTAATTTGTTCTTCTGGGATGTCTATGTTCCTTCAGCAAGCTCTGTACACTCTTTCCTCAAGGTCAGTCATTTTGGCTTGTGTAGGATTATTATGTAGGATTAATGCATTCTTTTAATATTTTTGTTTTTCTGTTACCGTTTTTCTTTTGCATTCCCAACCTGTTATTCTCTTTCTCGTGGTCACTGCTTCTCTAGCTACAGTGTCATATCTAAGTTCTGTACTCTGCTATTACTGTGGTTTTCAGTTCTATATCAAAATTTCTGATTTCTGACCTAATTCCATTCCTAATTTTTAAGTTGTTTTATTTCTCTTTTGAACCATTTTGTAGTTTCTTGCTGGCTTATCTGTTTCTCTGATTATAACTTCCCTAGAGATCTATATCTGTATTTATACATACACACATATATATATGTGTATCTTATACTGCTTTGCATAGATAGGTCATCATTGGACATGTTATAATCCAAATGCGTGTACTACAAATCTCTGTTTTGGCATTTATAACTTTGATTCTTCAGAAATTGTGACATTCTGAGATTTGAAACCACATATCAGTCATAGAACATTTATATTGAATAAGATGTTTTTTGTGTGCCAGGGAACAACTTGGAATCATTGAAAACACTATGAAATTTCCCAAATGATGTGTAGCCCACACTCTTCTTCCTGTTCAGTTATAGACCCAACTTATTGTCCATCTGCTGTGCCTGTTATAAACATGTGAATTATTTTAACAACTCAGTGGATTGGCTATCCAATAATTTTGTCATAGGTTGGTCGTGTACCCCATAAGATTTTTTTTTCAAAAATTTAGTTTGTACTCTCAATATAGGGAGTATTTACTTATTTATAAATTATTCAGTTGTACTACTGTACTAATAATTACAAATACTATAAAATGATCTTAAAATAGAAATTAGAGGGTAAGATAAAGATGAAATAATGTAATATTTGATCCAGGAGTTAATAGTAATGGAGTTTGAGTAGGGAAGTGACATGTTAAAAAACAAAAAAACAAAAAACCTACACTTTAGGAAAATCATTTTGACAGTTTTGTCTAAGATGGATTAGAGAGGGAGAGTCAGTGAGACCAATAAGGAAGCTCTTGCAACAATCTGAGAGGTAATAATGGCCTTAACTAGTATAAGTAGAGAGGAAAGGATAAATGGGAGAAATATTGTGTTGTTAGAAATGACAAGATTTGGCACCTGGTCATATATGTGAGGTGAGGGAAAATGAGGAGTCAAGGTTATAATGCCAAAGTTATTAACCTGGATGACTAGAAGAATGGTGATACTCTTAATATAAATAGGAAAGTTCGAAAGAGGAGTGAGTTTGGGAGAAAGGTAATGAGTTTTGTTTTGGAAATGTTAAGTTTGAGATGTTTATAGTATTTAGTATGTCTAATAGTTGGTGATATTGGACTAAAGATCAGGGGAGTGATTAGGGATGGATATGTAAATCTGGGAATTATCTTTGCAAAGAGATGATGATTAAACTCATAGGAGCCAATGAAGTTACCAAGTAAAAGAGTGTTCAGAGAGAAGAGATCTTAGGACAGAGCTTTTTGTGTATACTCATAGTTACAGGGCATGATGTAGATGATAATATGGAAAAAGGGACTAAGAAGGAATGGTCACAGGGGTAGGGGAACCAAGAGAATAGTCTCACAAGTCAAGAGAGAGTCGTTATCTAGGAAAATAGAGTAATAAACAGAACAGAATTCTGCGGGGTGCTTAAAAATGATGAAGATTGAGAAAAAGTGATCTGATGTATCAATAAAGATATCATGAGTAACTTTGAGAGACAGGCTTTTCAGTTGAGTGAGGAGTCAAGGGTAATACTGTGAACCCAAGAGACTGGATGGTCAGTGGTATGCTCAGTAGAAGTAGGAAAATTTGGAAGAAACAGTAGTTTACGGGAAAAAAAAAAGAATATTATGTCATACCCAACCATACCTGCTCATCCTCTACTATTCAGTTTTTCCCAAAATGAAAGTATGTTAGGGACAGAGTGGGGAGGAAGGAAAGTGTCAGGAAAGACTTACTTTTGCAAGAATGATGGTTTTAATTACAGTGGCAAGAGTGACCTTGTTTTTTTTTTTTTTTAATTTTCCTTAGAGGAAATACAAGAATAGAAGAGGCTTGTGAAATGTATACGAGAGCTGCAAACATGTTCAAGATGGCCAAAAACTGGAGTGGTATGTATGGGCTTTTTGTTTTTAGACAGTAGATCAGTATTTTCAAAACAAGAAATGACACCACTGCCTTAAGTTCTATTTAGAGAAAAGGACTATGCCCACCTAAATCCCACATTGTAAGTGCCATGAAAGTACATAGATGGTTAATTGTCATATACAAGTATGACTACCAAAGACCTGTCCTAGTGAAGTAATAAACATAAGCAAAAAGTAACCTACTTTATTTTTTTAAGGCCTGGAAACTGCAACTACTTTGTTTTCTCCAAACTGTTTACTACAGTGGGCATTCAGTAAATGTTAATTGATAATTATAATAAAAATTAAGTTAAGATTAAGAAAGAATAACCATCATCATAATTGCATTCACATTGTATCAGAAAAGGGCGAGAACAGAGATAATCAAAAAAGTATACTTTTAAGAAATTTAAACATTTATGTTACCAATGAAAAGAATGTCTAATTACTTTATGTGAACCAGATGGCAATGGTCTTTGATCACTATCAATTCCTGTTAGGACAAGTATTTCTTTAGGAATTATAATAGTGATAAAGTTGACTAAATATAAACATCAGCCCTCATTTTTTTTATTAAACCAGTAAAGTTAATAAAATCAACTTTCATTTGCCGAAAATGAGATATTCTTTCTGAGTAAATGACTATTTTTCTAAGTTAGTTTTAGGGGGAAATAGTGGTAAGGAACCCTAATTTTTCCCTCTTAAAACAGGTTTTACTGTCTTCATATTAAGGGCAGGTCAGTATTTTTTTTTTAATAGAAATAAAATGGTTACTATTTTTGAGCAAGATACTACTATGACTTTTTCTTAAATGTGGTTTACCCTAAATCATATCATTTTGTATTTAAGAAGGCTTTTAGATTCAGTCCACATATTCTATGTGCCTTATTTTCCTATGCTGTCAAAGCATATGGATTTAGGTGAAAGCAAGCTATTTAATTTTATTTGTCCACCGAATTAATTTTATTTTTTAAATTTGAAACTTTAAAAAAAATTTAACTGAAATTATTTTTAATTAAATTACTAACATTTGACCTACATTACATATTTTGGTGATTGCAGTGTCCACTTACCTAGCTCCTGATACTTATTTGGACAACTGCCTCCAAGAAGAGATAGACTTTTTGAGATAATAAAAGTATACATATTATGCATTGCTCATTTCATAATATAATGCATCATGAACCTGAAAAGATCATAACATGTTGAGAGAAAATAAAGTTCATTAGTTTTAAAGCCTATGTTTATTTTAAAGAAACTAGACAAGCTAATTAACTGTGAGTTCCATATGTGCCTGTGACTTCAGAATTTCTATAGTGATGATTACAAATAATAAACAAAATTTAATACATCTTTTTTAAAGGTAGAAAGGCAAATATGCAGAATTTAGAGTCAATATATTATTGGTTTTTTTTTTTTGGAGAAACAGAGAAAGATGGAAAAATCCCAGATGTTGGGCTGTAGTCAGACATCTGTAATTGATCATATTACTCATAGTTTGAGAACATTCTGTAGGTTTTTGTCATTAGTGCATTTAATTGTGTAAGTTCTTTTATTTGAATGTCTTTCTTTGTTATCCTTCATGAGAGAGCCTGTTTTAAATATAAATTGGATGGCCAAGTATTAAATAACTACATGAAGAAATATAAGGTTTAAAATACAACTTTCTTGAAGGAAGCAGATATCTTCCTTTGCATTCCCATATAATTCATACATATATAATCCAGGTACCCTTTTCATTGTTCCTTGACTAGGTCCATTTTTTTCAATCTGCACAAATTTATGATATTTTTTGCCTTCTGTAGGAAGTGCCTTTCTTAACTCTTCTTGTATGTATAAATCTTACTCATCCTCCCAGACCAATCTCAAATTCCACCTTTCTCCTGAAGCCTTTCCTAGCAATTTCTGTATGTAGTGAACTTAAACCTCTCCTTCCTATTGTCTCAAAGCACCTGGATGGTATTTCTACTACATATTGGGGCACATAAATATGTCCTTCCTTGTTCTCTTCTTGAGTAGTGTCATAGATTGTGAGTCCTATCACCTGTGCTGTAGTCATGAAGTCACCTAAAAATACTTCTTGAGGACAGGAATTATAAATATCTTGTACTACTTTTATATCCTCTCTAGTGCCTGGGCTCTCTAGTACTATATTATTTTTAAAATAAGTTGAATTCAAGGGACTTGAGCTATATTAGGTACTAATTTTTTTTTTTAATGAAGGTGGTTACTTGTGAACTGCCATACTTAAAGGAACATGGCCTTCGAAACTGTAAAAATTCATATAGGCGTACCCTTATGGCATGGCAACAAACAATAAATATGTTTTACAGCAATGCCATTAGGTCTTATAGTAATCATAAGATTATAGATGCAGAACTGAAAGAAACCTTGCAAGTCTCCCTACCTCCTTCACCCACTTTTTTTTTTCAGACAACCCCTTACTTTTATAGACAATGAACGTGAGAACAGAGGTTACCTGTCTATGTTCATACAGGTGGTAAGTAAATGGCCAAGCAAGGATTCAAACCCATGATCTCTGACTCCAAATTCAGTCCTCTTTCCACCATACCATAATAACTAACATTTTATAGTATTTTAAAGTTAATAACGCACTTTGGATGCATTATATTTCATTTTGTTGCTTAATCCTCACAACAGCTATGTGAAATTATTTGTAATCAAACCCAACTATTACATTCAGTATAGGTAGGCTATTCTTCTGAGACCAGCTTCACGTGCCCTCTGGTCCAGTTCCCCTACCCCATGATTTCTTTTATACTCCAGAACAGAGGTGGAGAACATGTGGCCTTCTAGGTCCTTGGGTGCGGCCTTTTGACTGAGTCCAAGTTTTACAGAACAAGTTCTTTTATTAGGGGATTTGTTCTGTGAAGTTTGGAATCAGTCAACAGGCCGCACCTGAGGACGTAGAAGGCCACATGTGGCCTCATGGCTTCAGGTTCCCCACCCCTGCCCCAGAATATCACCTCCTGAGACATGGAGAAATCCTGGCTTTCCCTTTCTAGTCATTTCTGCACTTTCCCCACCATAAGAACGTCTGCCCCTACTCCAGCTAGCAGTGTTCCTATAGAACTAACTGCCCCACTAAAACATTATTTTCGATTCATTTAACATTCTTCAGTGTGAGGAATCAGGTAATTCTTCAATCTATTTGTTTTTGACTTGGAATACTACGTTTCAGTGAAATCCTGATTTTAAAAAAAAGTAGATCAAGCTGCTGAAGATTATACTTTGATGCAACTCTAGACCTCTGGGTATTTAGTAGACCTAGAGAAATGCAACTTTTCTTTTCTTTTCTTTTCTTTTCTAGCTGCAGGAAATGCCTTTTGTCAGGCTGCCAAGTTACATATGCAGCTACAGAGCAAACATGATTCTGCTACAAGTTTTGTGGATGCTGGAAATGCTTACAAAAAGGCTGATCCACAAGGTAAGATCCAGAATACTATGTATTAAACAGTATCTAACTCTGTAAATGTTTACATATTTTCGGATTTTTAGGTAGAACATTAGCAAAGTCTTTCATAGGCTACTGGAATATTTTATTTTGATCCTTTTAACAAAAATAACTACTATAACCTAATTTAGAATATTTGAGTTGTTTTTCATAGTTTGGGTTTAGGGGACCCTTATTTACTTATACAAGTATGTGTAAGTAGTATATGGACAAAAAGTAAATGATTTTGACTGTGTAGTTGTGAACATAGTTGCTGCAACTATCCATATTTATTGGTTATATTGATTGTATACATACTTCGTATGTTCTTACTGTCTTTTTATAGAAGCTTTAGTCTGTTTACATATTGAGTATGTTGGTAGCTGGTTTGAGGCTTTAACTCCATCCTAAAGTTATCCTCTCTTCTAGAGGATTATATCTTATGTAAGATTGAAATATATTTTAAAATTCATTTGTAACTCTTGTAGAAATCCTCTCAGTGACAGAATGAGGTTGTGAGACTTGGAAGAATGTATGGTACACATAGTTATTATATATCAGTTTTGAAAAGAATTTTTCAGGATATTTTGATTTTTCTATTTGATGTACATGGTGAAAATTTTTTTAAATGAATATGCTTCTAAAATAAGAAAGGTCTTTGTAAAAGTTACTAATGTATTTACATAAATGCACTTGACAAATAAAAGTAGTAATTGCTATTACTCTTAGTTGTCCTCTTATCATGTAATAATATGAATAACTTTAACTTATAAGATGCTTTAAAGTTTTCATAGTGCTTTTAATGGATGTAATTTCCTTTACTTCTCTAGAGTATTGCTTTCCAAACTATTTTCCACATGAAATAACTAGAGATTTAATGAGAATATTTTTAATGATAGTTGTAGTTTCCCCCTCTAAAATATTAAATAAGAAAGAATATGTACAGGGTATCCCAAAAGTTTTAATAACATACACATAGTGCATATGTATACTCCTACACATATGTACATGTATAAATATATTTTACCTGTACAAACACACATGTGTATATATATACATGCATGTACTATATAATCAAAGGTACTTGTTAACATGTGGCAGTTTTAAAAATTTCACATATGCTTAATTTCCTCCATTTTTCTTCAAAAGTTCTCTGATTCCACTTTTTTCTCTTGTATGAAATGTCTCCCAGTATGCCCTCTAAACCACCATTTATGCATTCCATCAATATACTTGAAGTAAAAAAAAATGTCATTGACAAATTAGTTTGGGAAATTATCTAGTGTTTCAGTCAGAAATGTTCACTTTTAGATTACTAAAATAAGACCCTAGAATGGAGTTAACTTTTTACTCTTAGTGTATTTTATGATGTTGAACTACTTTTTTGCTACAGTAGAGTTTTTGATAACTTTTACTGGTGAAGTTGTATATTTTTTAGGCAAATTTTTATAGTTTATTCATGCAGGTCTGTTTAATAGAATAATAGTCATGCACTTTCTTGAGCATTCTAGAAAATGTTAACTTGACTTGCCTAAGGAATTTCATCAAAATCTATTTGAGTTGAACTGTAAGAAGAATAGAATTTGTAGCACTGACCTTTCTTGTATTTCAGTGGCAGGAATGATGCTATGTCTTCTAGTTATGACTCATATGAGACCAAAAGAGGACAGCTTTTCATTCTACTCTGCTTATGGTTTTAAATTATAACTCACCCAAGTTAATATTAATGAGCCCATGCTTTTGTTTTCTTTGTGATGCAGTCTTTCATGTGGATGGAATCCTCATTTAAAGGTTATAAGTAAATAAGCCAAATACTGGTAGCACAAGCTGTAATTCCCTAATTTACTTTGTAGCAGCTGGGAACAAAGCCAAGCTGTTATTACAATTGGACTTTTGCATGATTGTGTTTGCTTTTTACTAACTTCCCTGTCTACCTTCCATCCACAAATTATACCTAATTAATATTCTAATAAGAGCCGTGAAGAAAATTTCACTTTAATCTTATTTGACTGAATGGATCTCTCATTGTTTTTCTTAAATGCCTACGCTTCAGAGGCTATCAACTGCTTAAATGCAGCCATCGATATTTACACAGACATGGTAAGAAATTGCATTGCTTGAGCGGCTGTGGGGTGGAATCAATGAGATGTCTTGGAGTATTATTCTTTTTTCACTTTTTTCCCAAACTGATTTGGTAGAAAACAAATGAATATGATAGATGAACCTCTGCTTTTGTTTCTTTTATTCCCAGGGAAGATTTACAATTGCAGCCAAGCATCATATTACAATTGCTGAGATATATGAAACTGAGCTGGTAGATATTGAAAAGGTAAGTTTGCAATAGGTGTTCTTGCAAAATTTTGATCTAAAGAATGGTAGATAAAATTAAACTTTTTTAAGAGAGCATTTTACTAGCCAGTTAAATTTTTGCTAAAGGAAGCCAGCATTCTTGAAACTGACTTACATTTTCGTAGTAACTAATTATTTGTTCTTCATTAGGTCTTTCACTGATCACTGCTACAAATATCTCTTTATCTTTTAATGTGAAGTCATCTAAGTGATAATTTGTTGAATTTTATCCTGTAGTCTGCCAGTAATCTCTTGCAACTCATTTTATCAGTGAAAATGAAAAATGTTGCAAAAAGATCCTGAATGTACGTGACTGTCTTATCAATGTATCTGTTTTTGATTGAAAACCCCTGTAGGAAAGAACTTTTTATCTTATTAACTTCTATCGATTTTTCTTCAAGAAGGTATCACATAGCCAAATTCCCAGGAGGTACTTGATGATGGAACATTCAGACTTAGAATTAACTACTTCATTAAAGATTCTATAAAGATGGGAAAGCAGTGTGCAGGGTGGTGCTTTCAAGGATAGCTAGGTTGCGAGCTCCATTCTAGCTCTCTTTGAAAATGCCATTTTAGCCTAGGTAATCATTTGAATGTGAGACTAATATTGGGGATCGTCTTAACTTTCAGAGCTAATTAAAGAGAAAACCACTTCATTTTACTTCTGTCTTCTCTATTAAACAACATGATCTTCACAATGAAAGGTTATAGAAGCTATGGTTAAGAGGAAATTGAAATATGTAGGGAATACTTAACTGTTGAAATTTTTTTTCTATTCTTTAGGTCTAGATGATTCATATCTGATTTTTACACATTTTCATGTATAAGAATTTGAAGACTGCATAAAGAATCATTTTCTTTGAGAAATCATAGTGAATGGGAAAGTTGCCAGAAGACTAGAAGTGGGTAGAGATTGTTTCTGCGTTTGATAGGGAAGAGACAGTAGATTACAGAAACTAAAAATAAGCAGAATTCTAGAATATATTATTAAATGTGTTTTGTGAACACTTGAAGTCATTATTACTAGGAACTGTCTTGAATTTGCTAAAAACCAGTTATGTCAAACTAACTTAATTCTTTTTCCTTAGAATTTCTAGATAAACAGATCAAGTGACTATCACAGATACTGTATTCATAGTGTCAGAACAGCATTTGACAAAATCTATCCTTATATTTTTGTGTTCATGTTAGGTGCTCCCCAAATGATACTGTGGTTAAGCAATGCTGGCTACAAATCATTGCTAGGCTAGAGGGCGAGCTCCAGTGGTGTGCCACAGTATTCTACCCCTTGGTAACATTCTGTTCCACATCTTTATTAATAATTTTGGGGATTATATAGAAGGCATGTTTATCAAATTTGTGGGTGACACAAAGCTTGAAGAGAGCTAATACGTTGAATGACAGGATTCAAAAAGATCATTACACTGGAGAGATACATCAAAATTAACATAGTGTAATTTTATAACGATAAATGTAAAGTCCTATGCTTGGATTTGGAATAATTAATTATAAGAGATTGGGAACATATTTGACAATATTTTATGTGAAAAAAATCTAGAAGCTTTAAATGATTATGAGGTCAATATGAATCAACATTTTGATAATGTCTTCAAAAAAGTTAATTCAATTTTTGACTATCTTAATAAAAGAATAAATTAAAAATGATGGTAGAACTGTTGATCTTGAATATTCACTGTCGACAATGGCATAGACTGCTACGGAATGGGCAAGATCCTAGAAATCGTATCTGTGGGGTCATGGAATGGAGGCAGGAGGAAGCAGCACAAACAAATGACATCAGGACAGGACAATAGTAGGCAAAAGGCAGATATCCTGGATGAAGAAAAGATCATGGGGTCAGGAGGCTTTATTTACATGCAGAGGTCTAGAGAGGCAGTTGGCATTAGTTCTAGTACAGCAAGTACTAGAAATACTCAGGTCTCAAAGGAACTTCAGTCCTGGGCATCAGACAGTGATGCAATTTTGAAATGAGTACAAGCACTTATAAAAAATAAGGCAACAGGTCCATTCTTAGAAGTGGACCATAGGATCACAGTAGAACTAGCACAGACTGTGTTAATGATCCACCAACACAAGAAGCAAATATTTGCATGCTCTAAGCAAGTTTTGAAAATTGTGCTCTTGTTTTCACTGTTCACTAGAACCAGAATCAGTCTAACCAAATTTACTTATCACAAGATACTTTTGTACCTTGGAAGTTGAAATCTTTCGACATTAAATATATGTATTTATTAAAAAGTATGACTCATCTTCCCACATGTCTTGGTCTAGGTAGCTAACTGCTTTGCTCGTGGTATTCCTTAAATACCTTCTTCTCCTACCTATCTAACCATTTTTTTTCTCTGTCTCCTTTGCTATGTTTTTATCCAGGTCACATCTGCTAACTGCATATCTCACAGGGCTCTGTCTTGGGCCCTATTCTTTTCTCCCTCTGTACTCTTTTACTTGGTGTGATCCCTTTAGCTCCTCTGGATTTCATTATCATCTCTATGCTGATCATTCTCAGATCCATTTATTCTTCCCTAACCCCTCTCCTGAATGCTAGTCTTACCTGCCTATTGAATTTTCAAACTGTATGTCCTGTAGTCATATTAAACTCAACCTGTCCAAAATTGAATTCATTATCTTTCACCCAAAACCCTTCCATCTTCTAACTTCCCTAAGCATCCCCCTCATTTTACAGATAGTGAGGTACAGATTGCCCCTTCTCCCATCTTGACCTCAAAAGAGTATAACCATAATGAGGATAATGAGAGCAATATATAGCTTACAAACAGCTTAACATATAGGAGTAGGGCCTAGACTGTGATTCTGTTGGCTTAGGGAACTTTGCCTGGTGAAGAAATGCCTTCTACCAATGCAGTGAGGCACCTTCTCAGCATCTCAAAGTTACACAGGGTTACTGAGGGGATTAATGACTTGCCCGGTGTCACAGCCAGTTTGTGTCACAGCTGGGATTTGGACCTAGATTTTATTGGCTTCAAGTTTGACCTATTCTCTTTGCTGCACTGCCTCTATCTTTATATATAGTATTATTTAATTCTCATTGCAGTTCTGTCAGGTAGGTAGATAAGAATCGTTACAGCCTTTCTGCATATGGGAAAATGCATTTCAGAGAGGTTGAGTGCTTTACCTTAGACACGAGGAAGTTAGTGCAGGAGCTGGGACTCAAGTCCAGTTCTTTTGACTCCAGGTCCAGGTTTTTTCCCACTAAAACTTTTTGTCTCTGGACTTTGGAATGCTCATATGTAGTAGTACTCTATATAATTGAACAAGACTTCTAGGATTACATTGATCAATTTATTTTATATCTTGAAATCTGGGATATCTATAGTGATGCAGAGTAGGAATATCAAGCTTTTTATGTTGTTTTTGGTTGTGGTTTATTGCTTTGATTTAGATTTTAGAATAATCTATTTTATTGTATAGTTTTCTATATATTTGTTACTTATTAACTCTAGTCTGTATGTAGTATTTAAAACCAGTAAGATAGAAAATATTTACTCACTAGTTTGTACAGTTGTATTTATGACAGATACTTACAATTTTCAATAAATTTTTAAATTATGAGTTGCAGACACTTGACTAAAGGGTAATACTACACATTAGAAAGTCAGCCAAGTATGTTCTCTGAAATTTTTGCTATTTGATAGTGAAATCTCAAACTGTTACAGCTGAGACAATTGAGATCATCTAATTCAACCCCTATATTTTGCTTTAATGTAAAAATATGAATTGTTGTTATAGATGAGAATATATGCTTATGCTCCACTTCTGACCTATAGTAAAATTTTTCTAAAGCCAAGTTTTTATTGTTAAACAAAATTTTTAAAGAAAGAAATATTTTTAAAGTTTCTTATTAATTTTTCCTTTGGTGTAAGATTCCAAAGGAATGAAAAGATATTTTTTTGGAGATCATTAAAATAAGCAATGAATTAGTTGATCATATTTTTAAAATGAAGGGAAAGAATAACAAAGTAATTAAAAAAAAGAAGATATTCACAAAGAATGGAGAAATAAAAACTTGTCAGAAAATATATCCAATTATATGGCAGCAAAATTGAAAATGTAAGCTATACAGATGCATTTTTCAAAAATATGTAATACCCAGGTTAACAAAAGAGGAAATATAGAATGTATAAACAATGTGATCTCAGAGAAATTGAGTAAGCCATGAATAAATTTCTCCCCCCCCAATAATCCAGATGCATGTATAAAAAAATTCTATCAAATATTTAAAGAAAAAATAAACATAAACCATTCACAAAAATAGAACATTTGGCACCTTTGTTCTTTATTTTGCCATATGGCCCTTATGAGCTCATGGTTATGGTCCTGCACAGGAGTAAACCCCTTGGACTGTGGGAAGTTTCTCTGACTTTAGCCAAGGTCACGAGAGCAAATTGTTGTTTATGTGGGGGGGAAAGGTTCAGTAAATCTGCCAATTTAGTGATAGGGGTAAGCAAACTCTTTTCCTCACCTCTTTCCCCATTCTCTTACCTCTCCTTCATTCCCTCAACTAGTTAAAATACTCGAAGATTTTACAATATAACTGGAGTGTAAACAACAGATAAAAAAAGTTTTATCTTCTAATAACTCCCCTAGAACTCTTGAGAAATGAGGAAAATTGATGAAATACCAGTGACATATCAAGGGATGGAACTCCACTGTATAAAAAGCCCTATCTTTGCTACTGCTTCCTTCTCTCCTCACCCCACTCCCTACTTAGATAACAGATTTTTTACCCATTTGCTCAGAAAATTAATGGCTACCAAAGAATTTGCAGAATTCTGTCTTCAGCTTTTCTAAGGCTTCAATTAGCCTTAAGTATAATAAATCTAAAATCTAAGTGTTTTGCAGGAGTTTCCTTTTTCCTTGCCTACCTTGGATAAAATTTTACCATAAAAATCAATCTTTTGGAGAGATGTTTACCACCAAATGTAGGAAGTAAAATGGAGAGAACTTTTCATTTAAGAAGGAATCTCCTGAGTTAGTCTTTAGATGCCAAAGCATGCCACACACAAACACCCCCCGCCCCATGTATGCTCAGGCCAGCAAGCCATTTCCACTTACTAGAATTGACTCTAACACAAGCTGGAAATATTTGTTTGAACTGATGCATATGAAGAAAGCAGAACTAAAAGAATAATGTTCACAGTAACCATAATGTTGTAATCGAAAACAACACTTAAATTCAGATGAAATGTAATGACTGTTCCTGGTTCCAGAGGCCTACAATGAAACACTTTAGCATCTCAGAAGAGAATTTTGCATGCATTCTGTATTTCTTTTGCTTACCTGTTTTTCTTGGATAAGAGGATTATTTATAGGGATGGTAAGGGAATAATCATTAAGAAATAATAGTGGTGTTAAAGCAAAAAGCAGCGATGTAACATTTTTTTTTTCAAATGTTCACAAAATATACATTCCTTTCTGGAAAATGTAGTGTTGACATGATAACATTTACTTTGTTTGTTTGTTTGTTTTTTCTTAATGGGAACAGAATATATTACTTATTTCACTGATGGTATTACGAGATAATGCCAGAAGAGATTTGATATTGGAGAAATCTTAAGGTTATGAAAAGTAAAGTAGGGGGAGATAGAATGTTAAATGAAAATGTCACAATTAAACATTGATCTTTAAGAGGAAAGTTTATTTGTTTTGCTTTCAGGCTATTGCACATTATGAGCAATCAGCTGACTATTATAAAGGAGAAGAATCAAACAGGCAAGTTTTCTTTTAAAAATTAACAATTCATTTTTGATGCATGTCCCAAAACTGACAGATGCTCAGGTTTTGGTCAGTTTTATAAATTGAAATAAACATTTTCTTAGGAAAAATCACTTTTGCTTATTTCTTTTTGGAATGTTATCTATTTTTAACTCTATGATTCTTGATTTTCAGTTCAGCCAACAAGTGTCTTCTGAAGGTGGCGGCATATGCTGCTCAACTAGAACAGTACCAGAAAGCAATTGAGATCTATGAGCAGGTTAGTCCATTTAATAGGCATCACTTTACACTATAAACCTTTTTCGATCATTTTAAAATTAATTGTAGGTTCTTACACTTAGAGAATGCTTATTGATTTACATGAAATTTCATTGATTATTTTCTATAATTATAATTGTAATTTGCTAAAAATCAATGATATTGGTTTCTGTGTCTAGTAATATTTCTTCATACTAGACTAGGGAGCAAAGGTTACCTGGCTGGAAAGTTTTCAAAACTTAATATAGGCCATTGTCATTAGATTTTGTGATTTTGGGCAAGTCACTTAATCTTTATGGGACTCTTATTTCCTCATTTGTGAAATGAATTAGGTTTCTGAAGTTCTTTCCTGCTGTAGAGTTATGATCCTATTAATGTTGTATATTTGTTAATGTAAAACATAGACACATTTTTTTCACTTGCATGGGTTATGGTAGTATCAACATTACTAACCCAACAATTTCTGTTACTAGGTTGGGGCAAATACTATGGACAATCCTTTGTTGAAGTACAGTGCAAAAGATTACTTCTTTAAAGCAGCTCTTTGTCACTTCATAGTTGATGAATTGAATGCTAAGGTTGGTAGTTTTAAAGGGACATTTTTCTAATATGTTATAACAACTGAAACAAACTTTTGCAATTGTCAACCTTGTTAATATCATTGTTGTTATTAGTGTAGGTAATCTTTATTCCTGTGAACAAATTACAAATAAAAAGCTACTAAAATTGAATTTCATAAGTTATCCCATTTTAGTCTTGACTATTAAAAAATAAAGCAAGGTTTTATTATGTCCAAACCAGGACTTTAGTAGAGAACAAGAAGGAGCTAGAATAGATCCCTGCCTCATGAATCCTGATCAGGATCCATAACTGCTTAAACATAATGTTTGAATTTTGTAGAGAGTGAAAAATGGGGGCAAGTTGAAGAGGGGAATCAGTAAGAAATAGAAGGAATTGGTTGAGAACAGAGTATCAGAAGAACAATTTTAGACAAGTTTGTACCAGCTCAGATTTGGGAAGCAAAAGTAAATAAGCTACATGAGAAGTATCCCTGTCTTCTAAACCCACATACCACTCTAAATTAAGTTCATTTTGATCATGTACTGCAGAGATGTACTCTCAAGTGGAACAAGAACCGGATTAAAAAGTAATTGGGAAAGGTTTAACAAAATAAAAATACAGTATAACATTGTAAAATACAGTGTAATATCAGTAGTGTTAATTTGTGGTTTTCTAAGTCAACATGAAGCCCACAGAGTTCTGTTCTATTTGAGTTTGATGCCACTACTGTACTGTGAGAAGGAAGCTTTTGTGTTTTCTCTTTTCACAGTCAAAGCCAAAAGAGTAGAGAAGGACAAATGTTGCAGCAAGGCAGTTCCACTTCAGTTTTATATGTCTAAGAAAGGAGAGCAAAAATGATTTAGCTTGAGAACTTCCAAGTTAACTTTGTATTAGCTCACATTTCATCCTTCTTGCAGGACTTTTTATTTTTGTATGTTTTCATTGTAAAAGAAAAACAAATAAAAGGTTTTGTGATGTTTCTTAAATGTTTATGTAAAGAGTGAAAAATGTTATTAATGGTATTAAATTTTATAGTAAAATGAAAATTTTCATGACTGAAGCATAAAATAGTCTTTCTATTTTAGCTTGCTCTCGAAAAATATGAAGAAATGTTTCCAGCGTTTACTGATTCAAGGGAATGCAAATTATTAAAAGTAAGTAAAATTGGTACTATTACAATAATAATAGCTGGCCTCATATATCACTTTAAGGAATTCAAAGCACTTTATTTCATTTGATCCTCAAAGCAACCCTATAATCATTCTAGATACTTAATATCTATTATTATTTTACAGATGAGGTATCAGGCTCAAGGATATTAAGTGATTTGCCCAGAATTACATAGCTTGTAATTGTTGAGGCTGAGATTTGAACTCAGGTTTTGTCTGAGTCTGAGTTTAGAATTCTCTTTACTGTAGTATATCCTTGCCAAGTAAATAACCTCTAAGATGTGTTGCATGATGCATACTTTGGAAGATATACATTTTCTTTTTGAGATAGCACGTACATTGATTTAGTGTCAGATGGCTCTAACTTGTAGAGAGTGGAATTCTCTGGATTATTAAGAGACCTAGCATTTTGCTACTTTCATAGTCTTTTTTGCTGGCCATAATGTAGTGAAGCAAAAACATCATAGACTCCTAAGACATTAGAAAATGAAAATACTAGAAACAAGATTATAGTCGAATATTGACCCAAGTGGATTTTTTGGGGGTTTTTTTGGTGAGGCAGTTGGAGTTATGTGGCTTGCCTAGGGTCACACAGCTAGTATCAAGTGTCTGAGGCTGGATTTGAAGTCAGGTCCTCCTGATTCCAAAGCTGGAGCTCTATCCACTGTGCCACCTAGCTACCCCCAAATGTTTGTTTGTTTTTTGCAGATTTACTGAAAAACTATTTTCAGATTTATGGAGATGTTGACATTTTCTGAAAGTAATTCAGAAATGGCAAGTAGCATTAAGTAGTTTAGATACTCCAACTGAAGAAACAAAGCTGTATCTTTATGATTTGATCACAAAGACAGGAGTTTTAGGCTGCCATATATAGAATGTTGGCATATATAAAATCTCTTAAGAAGCAACCTCTAAGATTACTTAGTACTGTCCTTTCATTTCATAGATGAAAGAATGAGCCCCAGAAAGGTTGCCCAAGGTTACTGGGCAAGCACCAGCCTAGAACCCAAATCTCCTACTTTTCTACTCTGGGATAACACCGTACTTTTTGTCCATATTTTTATGTTGTCAGAAACTGCTAGAAGCTCATGAGGAACAGAACAGTGAAGCTTATACTGAAGCGGTAAGTGGCATGTGGCTTTTTACATTTACATAACTGTAATAGAGTTTTCAAAGATTTGACTTGCAGTATTTTTTTTTCATGTTTCCAGGTTATAAATGTGTCCATGTTTTCCCAAACAGCATTCTCAGAGTATGTGTATTATATGTACCAAATGTGATATTAGTAGAAAAAGCCAGTTAGGTTCTATGGAACCTAATGTCATATTTATGGCATGGAAATGACCCATGGTTCTTTAGGGTGATGCTAACAGAGTGTAACAGTCTGGTTTTACCAAAGTTCTACCAACCTAAAAAGGCTTAAAATACAGTCTTAGTGCCAGACTAGGTCTGCTTTTTGAAGACAGCCTGACTTAAAAGGGAGAGGCTCTTCACCACTAGGGTAACTTCTAGGTGATGAATTCTTTGACCATGGCAACCCATGAAAATTGAAGAAAAAAATTGTACTTAGTCTTTTTTAACCCCTTTCTATTTTTGCAGTAAAAATGGCAGAATGGCAAAGAATGCTAAGAAAAACACAGTTTTTAGTATCTTTATAAATATTAACCTGAGTGTTGCTACTCTAACTTATGATTCTTACCCAGTAACTGGCCAGTGAATGTACTGCCAAAGGAATTGAATCATGTCAGTGCTGATATTCTTGCTATAAATGAAATTGAGAGATATAAGGAAGTTTCAGCTAAACGGAAAAATGTTCCCCAAGTTCTTAACAAGGTATTTAAAGAAATTGGTAGCATTGGTTTTACTGTGTTTCTAAAAGGACCAGAAAACATCATTTCATTTGACATTTGCTCATCTCTCATTGAAGTGCTCATAATGAGGAGCAAAAAAACCACCATGATAATAATTACAGCTTATATACTATCTACTGGAGAGGATGAGGATGTAGAGAAATTCCATGAAGAGCTTGATAACACCATCCAAATTAAATCCACATATTCTTTAACACTTGATGTCTTCAATGCAAAGGTGGATAGAAGGGAGGACAATGAAAATTAAGTCGAAAGCTGTTACTTGGGGTTCAAGAAGCCTTACATCTGTTTATCATGAGTACCTTCTTCAAAAGGAGAGCTGGCACAAAAATCATCAATATTCCCTTATACTATTAATTTTTAAAAGGAAGAAATGAGATAGAAAAATACCATTCAAAATAGCTACAAAATTTATAGCATATCTAGGGGTTAATTAATGAAGACATACTTATAAACATATAAATATAAGTACAAAACACTCTACTGAAATAAGGAAGATTTAAGTCATTGTGGAGATAGTAATTTTTTATGGTTGGATCATGTCATTGTAATAAAAATGATACTAAATTAATTTATAACGTTAGTGGTATAACAGACTATTACCAAGTGTTACTTTATGGGTCTAGACAAAATAATAGCTAAACTCATTTAGAGGAACAAAAGGCAAAAAATCATTTTTTTAAAGCTATGAAGGGGATCTGACATTACTACTGTAAAGCAATAGTCATCAGAACTATATGGTACTAGTCAGAAAATAGAGCAGCAGATTAGTGGAAGAGACTAGTTAAGAAAAACCTGGAAACCAGGTTTTTTAGCGTTCAGTAAACCTATGAGAAACTAATAGGAAAAGGATTTCCTATTTGACAAGAACTACTGGGACAACTGGAAAGCATTTTGGCATAAAATAGCTTTAGACTAGCAAGTTATATCATATACCAAAGTAAATCCCAAATGAATAAGAAAATAACTTTGGCTAAGAGGAAAATCTATAAACCAATCAAAGGATGGAAAAGAAAAGGCAAAATAAAGAGTTTTGATTATATAAAATGAAAATCCTTCTGTATGAACAAAAAAGTACAATTAAAATAAAAATATTTAGTACCCCCCCCATACATTCAGGGCCACTTGAATTGTTAACCCCAGGTTTAAAGTACATCCTGGGTCCTCCAAAACAATTCTTGAACTCCCACTAGTGTGTTTGTTTTTTCTACACTTAAAGAACACAATTAGTTAGAAGCAGGGGCATTTAATGAAATAATAGTAAAAAAAAGTTGCAGCATCACATTCTTCACTCATCCCCTACCAGGGCATATTCTTCCATGATTGCACACGCCATAAGTAGGAAGAATTAACATGTATAGCAATTACACAGAAACACCTATAGAGAGGGGCAGATGGATCACTGATGTTTCTTGGTAACATCTGTAGGTCCCCACTAATTTTGTGCCTTTGTTTCCTTGGTCTTATGGTGGCTGTTCAGTTGATCAGTCTCTGCTGGTCTCCTGTTCCATTGTTTTCCTACCTATTTTGGTGACTGGTAGCTACTGTCACTTAATTTGGGGGTATTGTTTTTCTTCCCTCTAGCTAGCTTCTGGGCTTCTCTCTTCAGGGCCTCCTGCCCACTAACTCTAGCCTGCTAGGATTTAACAGATAGAGCCTTACCCAGAGAAGGCCAGGCAGAATGCCACTTTAAGATTGTCTTTTTCAACCCTATGTCTAGGTAGATATTTCAGCTCTCGGTTAGAATTAAAGATCTGACCTAGGGTTAGATTCCTTTCTTTCAAAACAAAAAGTAAGCCAAAAAGGTAGGGCCATTTTTCTCTATTACCTAACTCATTTATAACATCATAGATTACTGGATCATAAATCTAGAGCTGAAAAGGATTTTAAACCCTCTAGTCCAACCCACTCATTTTAGAGATAAGGAAATTGAAGCAGCATCAGGAACTTTAACAGTTCCTGCTTTTATTCTTCATGTATGTCAGCAGCAAAGCCCCATTGCTTTGGTGCAATGTTTTGACCAATTTCACTGCCTCCCAAAAAGAAAAGAAGCTGTCAATTAGGGAGTAAAACCTCTACCTCAAATGTCTATGATAAAAGTATGATGTGTATATATATATATATATGTATATATATGTGTGTGTGTGTGTGTGTGTGTGTGTGTGTATATATATATATGTGTGTGTGTGTATAGGGAATAGACCTAGATATGTAACTGAGAGCCATTCCCCAATAAGCAAGGGTTCTGAGAACATGAATAGTTAGCAAAAGTTTAAGTTATTGTTAACCATATGAAAAATGCTCCAAATCACTAAAAATAAAAAGAAATGTAAATGTATCAATCAGGAAACATTTATTGAGCACCTACTATACTAAGTTCTGGGGATACAAAGACAAAAACAAAACAGTGCTTCCAAGGAGCTCACATTCTTTTGGGGGAAATAACACATGCATAAATATATTAAAAAATACATGAAAATACACACAATCAGATAGGGACCAAACCTGTAATTTCATTGATATAAGGATCTCTTGAATAAGCGAACTCCCTCTACTAATACAAGTCAACACCCTCTCTGGAACTTAGAGTCTTAGAGTTGCCTAGAAAACTGAGACATTAAATGATGTGCCTTGGGTCACACAACCAGTATATTGTTAGAGGTGGAATTTTAAGCCAGGTCTTCCTGGCTCAGAGGCCAGACCTCTATGCATTATGTTGGAGGTTCCCCTCCAAACAAAATAAATACAGGGTAAATCTGGGGGAATGCTGGTGCTACAAATAGGAAAACCAGAAAAGATTTCCCATGGAAGGTGATGCTTAAACAAAGTTTTTTAAAAATACAAAAAATGAATTCTAAATCAGAACAATTCTTGAGTTTTCACCTCATGTCTACCAAATTGGCAAAGACATTATGTCAGAAATGTTTATTGTCTTTACTGTCTCTGGCGCTCTAATACACTGTTGTTGGAGTCAGTTTAGAAAATAATTTGGAATTTTGTGGGGAAACTATTAAATGGTTCATATCCTTTGACCCAATAATAGCAAGACTGGGAACTCTTCTAAGGAAGTTAGTGACAGAAAATATCTGGCATATAGTGTGTGTTGAATAAATGTTCGTTGATTGAAGGAAAAGACCCATATCTATATCTGTATATTTATATCTATATGTATATATATAATGTATATCCAGATATTCATCGTAGTACTTTTTGTAGTAGCAAAATAAACTCAAGGAAAGGAACGCTCTCGAATTGCAGAGTAGCTGAACAGATTCTGTCATGTGAATACGATGAAATATTATCTTGTCTTAATATATGAATATTACGAATTCAAAAAAGCATGGGGAGATGTGTATGAACTAAGGGAGAGTAAGAAACCAAAACTAGGAGAATGATATCAGAATTCAGAGTAAATATAATGCCCAATCTTGGCTCATGGGATGATGGTGAGACATACTTCCCTTGTCTTAGAAGAGAGGTAGTGGACGAGAGGTGTGAAGTATTGTGGATTGTAATCAACATCATTTGATATGCCCCTGTTGACTATATTATGGATTCATCAACTATTCTGTTAAGCTAGAAAACAAATAGATTTCATCAAATATTAGAGTGTTTTGTAATACTCTGATCACCCCGAGATAATTAGCATGTACTTCTATGTTTCAGTAATTCAAAACCCCTCAATTTTATTTCTTAAGTGATCCCTTCACCAAAAAATTGCAAGTTTACCTTGCTTTGGTAAATGGCTTCTGTGACCAAAAATATTTAAAACTTGGTCTCAACAATTCTGATTTGCCTCTCTAAAATTCATAGGCTGGTCTTCAGATTGCAGGAATAGTCTGCTGTCAGATCCATACACAAAAGCCTTTCCAGTGTAGTGGGATCTACCAGAATATGCTTTCTGCAGTGTTAGTCTTCAAACAACTCGGAGCCACCTTCATGACATGAAGAGGAATGGGAATAGGGACACATTATAAGGCTTTTTATGAAGCCAAGACCAGTTGTCAGAAATGTACCCTTTTTTCCTTTTTAATGGCAGAATGCATTTTATGATTTATTTGATCCATCCTTAGAAGGATTTATGATCCTAGTCTAAAAATGCCTATTCATTTTGTGTGATTCTCGTATCCTCCACTGGAGGTCCACTCACTGTACTGAAGACCTTCTCCTAGATCTGTTGCTATTGGGTGGGTATTAGTGGAACATATAATTTTGTATCTGTGAGCCTTTGTTCTTACTATTTGATAGCACCACTTCCTTTTCCAGTCATAGTTCCAAAAATCTTAGTTCAATTTTAAGCTATTAAAATACAAGAAACCATGTATTTCTTTGCTTTTGGATTCATTGATAGTAAGAATGTGACTATTGATATGTTTCAGTTCTTCCATTAGTATGTCCACTTATTGATCATTAGATGTTGGATCTCACATTTGGAATACCAGTATTTAAGTTAATGTTTATAGACAATCTAAAATAGGTAACACCCTCTAAATAAATAAATTAGAACCCTCTGTACCAGTTTAGCTGCTATCATTGTGGAAGTAGAAGGAGCCAAACAGGACGGAGGTTTATTTTTTGCTTTTATTTAATAGATTATCTATTCAGAGAGTTCATCACTTAATGGGTAGCCTCTAGTGACTTGCTTTTTCATTAAGACTGTACCTGAAACTTTCTAGCATGGTAGAACTTGACAGAGATGGCACTCTTCTAGCATGGCATTTGAGAACCTCATCTGTCTGGTTCTTTTGCAAATGCATTCCTTGTGGACGCTTCTCCAAATGGATAGATTAAGTACACTATGTATTAAAATGCTTTATAGAATGTATATCTTATGTCTTCATTTTTATTTTCATCAATCTAATTTTTTCTTTTATCTCTCATAAACTAGGTTAAAGAATTTGACTCAATATCTCGCCTGGATCAGTGGCTTACTACTATGTTACTTCGTATCAAAAAGTCAATTCAAGGGGATGGAGAAGTGGATGGTGACCTGAAGTGAATTGCCTATAATCTTTGTGGCATGCAGCCTAACTCCTATTTATATATATGTTAATGGCCAGTGACCATTACGGGATACCCCATTTCCCATTAATGGCTTCATTTTTGTTGCATATAAACCAGATGACTGCATATTGTTTAACATCCCTGTGTCTATGTTATGATGAAGTGGATGAATAAGGGTCCTCTAATGTTGTTTGTATGTGATGTGGAAATAGTATATATTTGTCAGATTTCTAAGATCTCTGGAAAAAGATACTTCATGAAATAATATATTTTTCATTCATCTTCAGTGTTTAAAGAACCCAGGTTTTATTTTTGCTTGATGTTTCTGTATGGTGCCTTAGGCTTTAGCACCAACTTAATCATGTAAATATATGCTTTGTGCATATGGAATACACATATTAGCATTTTAATCTGTACTAGCTTTAAACATGTGTATGTAATGGACAGTTGTTGGGAATGAGTTTATCCTTTCGTTTTTAGTTATTACAAAACTATCTTACTGGTGCTAGTGATTAGCTCCTTTGCTTTGTTTTTTTAATACCCTGTTTATGGGCATAAAAAAAGATTATGTAGTGATCTGGGTCTGTTGGTATTACTTGTTGTCATGAGTATAGGGACAGCCAACAGTTTATTTTTCTCATGCCAGGAAATTAAAATCAGATTCAGTCATCATCACATACACATATACATACACATTGCTGAAAAACATGAGGAACAGAACATGAAGTTGGTCCATGCAAAGATTTTTAGAGACCTTGGCATTGTGGCTAGAGTGCTAAATTTAAAAGTCAGAAAATTTCAGTTCAAACCCAGTTTCTGATACCTATTATTATCTGTGTGACTATGGGCAAGTCACTTAGTAATATGTTTGAGCTTGTTTCCTTACCTATAAAGTGGTGATACTACCTATGGTACCTACCTCACACTGTTGTTGTGAGGCCTTAAATGAGATAATGTATATGAATTATTTTGCAAACTTTTAATTACTATTTAAACATCAGTTATTATTATTATGCCCATGTAACTTTAATAGGTGTTTGAAAATTTGTTACAGCATATTTTTCCTTTTTTTGTTTGAAGTGTTAGAACATTTTTCAAATAATAAAAAAAGTTAGTGCACTGTAGTGACCATGTGATAGACACAGAAAAAAAAATTCACACTCCTACCTGTTATTTGTTGTACAAATTACTATATGTAGATAGTATAATAAGATTTCCATTTCCTCACTGTGTGTACACATAAAGTATATGTGTATTCTATATAAAATGGTTGTTTTATTCGGAAATTTTTCTCATTTTTGACTTATGGTAGAAATTGATTCCATCTCCAGAATCACCAAAAAAAAATAGTTTTTCTGACTTTTTCAATGCCGCTGAACTCTGCTAAGATGTTGTGCTCTTTTCTATACATTTGTGGTATGTCAGGGAAAGGTAGGCTTTTAGGATTGTTGGCAATGAGTTAGATGCATTTATTTGGTTTAATTAATGAGTCGGGTGTTGCTCTTTTTTTCTCATGCTTATCCTTTTGTTTGGGAAGTCAAATAAATTTGCTAGAGGACCATCATGAATCTCTCAGCAGATGATTGCATATTGGAAATGTTTCAATGTTTGAAGCTATTTGGGTTATCTGTATTTTCAAGTCTTCATATACGAATCTATCCTAGCTGTGAGGTTATGAAACAGATGCTGTATGTAGACATAGTAATGTTTCTAGCCTATCACTGTGCTGCTGTTAATATTTCTTAGGCTGAAATGGCCATGTTGAAATTTTTAGATTGCCTGTTTTAAACTATATTTCCCTATTAAAGACATAAATGTTTTGGGTGACAATGGAGCAATCACAAGTACTAATGATGTGGAATTTGAATGTATGGTATGTTGTTTTGTGGACATTCCCAATTTAAAAGATCTCTTTATAATCACTGTTTGTTTTCTTAAAAGTTAACAGAATAATTTTCCTTGGATTAAAATAATGGTATATTTTAGAGACCAAGAAAGACCAAAAAATGGATATTATTGGAGATGTAAGAGCAAATGGAATTGATTATCAATCTTGGTGGTGAACAGGTGACTCTTCTACACATAGCAATACTGAGTTTTTTTACTTTGTATACTTTTTCCTGCCTATTTTTAGCCACTTGGTAATTAAATAAAGAACAAGGTTAGTTGATTTTGCCATGATTTTAGCTTTACGTAATTGTATATAATTTCTGGGCTTTTCATTCTAGTTTGTGTAAGCCTTTAGTCCCCACCTGTAACTGCGTGCATATCACAGGGAATCCATAGCCAGAAAGTCTAGTGGACTGCCCTTTGCAAAATACAGTGGAGAAGAGAAAGTGAGGAAAATAAACCTGATTTGGCAGCTTTTCAAATATTATTTTGGCAGTTCTTTTTCAGTTTTTAGAAAACTAAAAAATGTCATCATAAAATGTCTGTGTAATGATTGTTGAAATTACATGCTCAGAGGCATCAGGAGATTTATTTACAGGTTACTGTGAGAATTTGGTTTAATACCATTTCTGACTTTGGAAAGAAACACTTCTCACTAAATTTATACACTGATTTCATCTGCCTGCTTCTCTTCTGCAAATGTATTTATTGATTGTGATAAATGTAAAGAATGACAATTAGTTTTGTCCCTTTTATACTTCTGAGGTTAGTGAGAAATAGTGAATTGTCCTGACACCTTTAGGTATAATTAAAGGAGACAGTGTGGTAAAGTGGAAAGATCATTAGGTGTGCCGATTTGCTTAAGTTAATTGTACTTTTTTGCTATAGGAGAGGATTGTGTTTTGGTGAAGTAGTGCTAGGAAATACATGGTGTTAAAAAAAATATCAATAAAACTATTTTTTTTTTAAAAAAAAGTATTAGACTGAGAATTGAGGAAGAGGCTTGGGTTGTGCTTTGGTTCATTTATCCAAGAAATAATTATGGGGAGCACCTTCTTTGTGCAATACATTGTGATAGGCACTGTTCTGTAGGACTCTGCCTTTTTTCTCAAGGTAGATAAAATCTGTTGGGGGATGCTTACATTAAATGTAAGGAAAAATGTTATAGTTCTGTGAGAGTGATTCAAAGTTCAGAGATTGACAAGATTCTCTTGGACTGAAGTGATCATGGACGAATGCTTGGAGAATGTGGTATTTGAACTGGAACTTGAAGGATGAGTATGATGTTGGCTGAAGATAATGGAAAAAAAAGGAAGAAGTAAAGGGCACATAATGAGCAATGATAGGGCAGGGCAAGGCAAGTCATATTCAAGAAGTGACAAACAGTCCATTTTGGTTGGATTGTGGAGTATGTGTAGGAGGATAAGAAGAGAGAAGGTTGAAGAGGTAGACTGAGGTCAGACCGTAGAGTGCCCTAAATACCAGACAGAGGCATTTGCACTGTACTCAATAAGCAGTGGGGAGCTATGAAAAGTTTTTGAACTTATTAAAGAATAATGATGAAAGTAGTAATACTTTAGTATTTGTTTGGCAGGGGCTTGTAGAATTGGAAGATAAAGAGACTAGAGTCAGGGATACCTGTTAGGAGGCTGTTATAGTAATCTAGGCTGGTAATACAGATATTGAAAAAGGAGAATGGGATAGGAAGGAAGAAGTCACAACTGGGCTGACCAATGAACCTTGAAGGAACCTTCCAGTTCTAAAATTCTACAAAATATAATTATCAGTTAAATCTCAAATCAGCATTTACTAAGTACCTTCTCTGTGGGCAGAACATTGTAGTATGTGCTGTGGCTATGGCAGATAAGTATAATATGCAATGTTACATGATAAGTACATTGTAGTTGCAAAACAAAATGCTTTGTGAGGTCTGAGAAGGGTGGATTTTTACTCGGGCTATGAAACCAGAAATTTTTTTAGAACACCATAATATAAATTAGAAATTGAAATGGAGCACAACACACTATTTCAAGAAACTACTGTTGCTTTCCTTTGAAATAACTTAAAAAAAAAATGATCTTTCCTCAAACCACATTGGGCTAAAGGCAAGATAACCGAAGAATAAAATCAGGTTTTTGTAATACTCGGTTGTACAGAAAAAATATACTTTTAATCTCAGACAATATACATAAACACTTTTATGTGATGATCTGATAGTATGGTACTTGCCAGAAAATTATCAGGATTGGAGGGCTGTTATTCATTTGCCAGTGTAGTTGACTTTCTTCTCCTTACTTATGGAATTTTATTAAAGGCACTGTGGGCTTCCATTCCTCTTGTGTGCTAACATGCATTTTCTCCAAGCTTCTGTTTTGCAAGATATGGTAAAGATAATTTTAATCACTGATTTTTTTCTTCTAAGTAAGCTCTGTTTATTCTCCTTTATCAACACCCGACACTGTCAGTTCACCACAGACTAATAAGTGACATGACACTTTGTTTTAAGGATTCATGTATGTTAAGGGGTCACTATCACAATCTGTGTTGCAACAAATGTTGTTTCAGTACAGTATCAATGCTTATTAAGAGCTAATAGCTATTTGTAGCCCAGAAGCATAGGAAAATAATTCTTATTGATGGAACGAACTAGCCAAAGGATAAAGATATATATTCATCCAAAAATATAAACAAACAAAACAATCCCAAACTAGAATAGTGAATATAAATTTAATTGCATTGAATTACTATCCCAATATAATGGAATAGTGCCATATTTCTTTCAATAAGCTAAGAAGTTGGATTTTCAAGACTCATAAGATTTTCTTTACAAACAATAGTAATAATTATGGGATTATGTTAAAGTTTTTGTATTTTAGCAAGTCTGACTCTCATTTATGGTAAATATTTTTCCATGGATCAACCAAGTTATTTGAAAAAGCTTACACTTGGTTATTCATGGTCAAAGATGATAGTCACAGGTAAAATTTCTTACAGAAAAGCATTGCTTTTGTGGAAATGTTTTTACAACCTGTCTCTTGATTTCCTTTTTTGTGGTTACTTTTTTATTTATCATATGATATGAAAACAGTATTTTTGCACAATTGTGATATGCATAAATGATCTCTGATAGTATAGCCAACTATATGCACTAGCTTTTGTGGTGTTTAACAGTGCGTTTTCTCTGCTGTTGTGCACATATTTGTCTAAATGTAAAACATGATTTTTGTAGATTTGGCAGTCTAGCATGTCAATTATAATGTAATTACCCTGTGTTATAAATGGTGATAACAGCAGTTTTCATATCTTGTAAAGTACAGAGAATAAAGCTGCTGATATTCCTCCTATCACTTTCTAATAGGTCAGAAAACTTATCATGAAAACCATTTAATAACAACTCTGCCTTAGCAGGAACAGATTGTGTATGTTTTGTGTGAACTTGTATAGTAATAAAGTCAAAATTATGATTAATGTTATGATTAGTATTTTTTACTATTACTTATTAAAAGAGAAAATTTCTTTACCAAACATGATCTACCCATTATGTTGAAAACCTGAAATTATAAGTTAAGGTGCCAAGTTGATCTCTTATAAGGTAGTTAGGTGACTGAGCTTTCAGTGGTAATTTAACATAGCGAAAGTTCTATTATCTAAAATGCTATAACTAATCTAATTGTTTAACTGAGGGTTTACACGGACAGATGTATCTCTAGAATCTTTCTAAAATTTTTCCCTTTTTAGGAAATCATAAGAAACAAAAAATATTTAAAAAAAAAGTTTTAAGAAAATACAGCTCTTCCCTACTTTTCCCCAATTTATCATTTGTAGTTTTGCACATTTGATATGTTGAAACCTTCACAGATCATTTTGAGATAACTCTAATTTCTATATAATGAGCTCAAATATTCTGCCTTTTAACTTCGAGATTAGTTGAAGTTTACTATCATATTGCTCATTTAGCCTAAGAACATCAATCATTTTCCTTCCCTCTTCAAACTAAATGTGCCACATCCAAGGTTTTTTTTTTATTTTGTTTTGTTTTGTTTTTGTTTTTCTTTGGTGACTTGCCTAGGGTCACACAGCTAGTGTCAAATTTAAACTCCGGTTCTCCTGATTCTAGAGCCGTTGCTGTATCCACTGTGCCTTCTAGCTGCCCCACATCCAAGTGTCACTGAGGTTTTAGAGTATACTCTGTTTTATACTTACATTATGAACATGATTTTTAAAAATAACCCTGAAATCATCATCTTCTGAGCAAATAATTTTAGCTTGAATCAGGGAGAGAAGCAATACTTATGTAAATTAGTTCATGTGTATAGTGTTTTATGGTTTATAATTCATCTTTTCAGAGGGCTTTAGGGCTTGCAAAGCACTTTCTCCATAAAACTGAGGTACGTAATGTAAATGTCATTTTACAAATGAGAAACCTTTCGAAATACTGTAGTCACTTATCTAATGTCACACAGCTAGTCCTAAAACATGTTTAAGGTGGCATTTGTCTTTACTATTAGATTGTGTCCCTTTTTCACTACCACATCAGGGCTATAAAGTAAACTCAAGTACAATGGATAGGTTTTGCCCCCTCAAAAAAAAATTTGGTTTAAGCATCCAAGTTTTCAAATTACAAAACATTTCCTTCAGACCTATTCCACTAGGGATCTGTAATGGCCTATTAGTATGGGGATAGTCTGATTTTTTTTGAATGCTATAACTCACGCCAGGTAGTTATGGAAGTACCTTATTCCTTCTAGGTACCTGTATACATTTAGGGTACTATAATAGTCACAAAACGTTATCACAAAACTGGTATCAATTGCTTTCTAGTATTTGTTTTCAGTGTGTACTGCCAACCAAAATTTTAGGCCAAATATATCTGGCTTGTTCGACATATTGAATAAATTTGCAAGGTAGCAATTACTCATCAGCCATCATATGGAATGAATGTCTTCTGACAATTTTCAATGAAAGAATTCCCCAATGAGAATGCTGGACAAAATTCATCCGGAGATTTTGCTTCCTTTCAGTTTTCAGGTCAAAATGAAGGTACCTCCTATCTAGGAATTGATTACATGACAGTTTTGTTAAACAAAGGACGGCTTCTCCTCCTCCTCGCCCCCCCCCCCTTCCTCCTGGAACTATTCTACATGGTTTTTAAGGATAGGTATCTTCCACAGAAAACACCATGGGTAATAATTAGATCAACGAACTTTTTTAATTAATCTAATATAATGGACCAGTTACATCATTGTGTGTTACACCTTGGCCCTCAGTAGCAATACATTTCTTGATATTTCTAAACATCTGTTTACCTAAAAATAATGAAAAAAAATGGGACTTTTTTTGATGACATGGGTCGTAGAATATGTAATAGAGCCAGACTGGAGTATAATGTTTAGCTGTTCCAAGTGTTCTTACACTCTTTGAGAGGCTTCAGCCCATTGCCAAGAACCATCTTTACTTTCAGAAACATTGTGGGTCTTTATCTCTTTTGTTCCGAACTTTGGTCCCGAGAACCAAACTGCTCATTACCTTAGATTGTCATTTCAAAGAGTAACTTCACTGATGGATTTATCATTGCTGGAATCAGATGAGGAATACATTTTCTCTGCCTCACATTGCAGTTGTAACATTGACTACAACTGAATTCACTATCTGCAAGTTAACCATCAGATGGTTTGGATGGGATATTTCTTATTGGGTCTAAAATCTGTTCACCAGAGAATATCTTGGACATTTTATCAGTAAGGATGTAAGCAATACTATATTGTGACAACCAAAGTATAAATTCTGGAAATTAGAAAAATCATTAAAAAATAAGTAAAATGGTGGAAACTACATGCAAAAATAAATTTTTATTTTACTCTGTAAATACATTTTTCACAGGGTTCTATCAGCATTTGAGGAATTCTTCTGATGCTTCAAGTGGAAAAGATTAATATAGGCAAAGATATGACACAATAAAAATAAATGTAGGATCAGTTCTTTTTTACAGCCAAAATCTGAAGCATCTAATCATAGACACAATTTAATGCATCTGATTCTGATAGGTGCTACGCACATGTTCTCTTTTATTTGAAGTTTTTAGAATGCTAAGGAATGTTAATAACAAATATAGAAAAGTATTCATAAAGTATGAAATAGAAATACCTAAATTGTTTTCAAGTGCCCCCCAAAATTGCATCAATTGATGTGCCTAGTCCTTCTAGTATTAAAACAAAATTCACTAAAGCAATATTAAAAAGTATGTAACAAAATGCTTTTAGTCATTCTATGGCAGCTAAATGGCATACTGGATAAAGCACTGGGCCTAGAATCAGGAAGTCCTGAGTTCCAGTGTGACCTCAGACACCTATTTGTATGACCCTGGGCAGGGCACTTAACCTCTTTCAATTATAATAGCAGCACCTACTTCCCAGGGTGGTTGTGAGGATCAAATGAGATATTTGTGAAATGTTTAGCTCAGCATAAATGCTTATTCCCTTCTCCCTCTTTCCCTATGGGAGTTTGGTATAAAAGTATTATTTGGAATTCTGGTGACGTGAAAGAGCTCTTGTACATTTTAATGATCTCAGTTGGTAAAGTTTTGTTGTTGTTTAGTTGTGTCCAACTTTGTGACCCCATTTGGGTTTTTCTTGGCAAAAATAACTGGAATGGTTTGCCATTTCCAGCTCATTTTACAGGAGAGGAAACTGAAGTAATTAGGATTGTGTTGAATTTGAACTCCAGTCTTTTTGACTCCAGGTCCAGCAATCTATCCACTGTGCCACCTAGTTGCCCCAGCTAGAAGCTGCCTCTGGCCATTTGGTCCAAACCATGCTTGACCAAACATACTCAACAGACTTTGCTTAGTGAGGGGTACACCTACCACCATTCTCAAGGTAGCCCAGAATCCCTTTTGGATAGTTCTAATTGATCCAAAGTCTAACCTTTTCAAATACTTGAATATAGTTACAATGCCCTTACTGTTCCTGTCTTCTCCTCTCTGGGCTAAACATCCCCATTTTCTTCATTGATAGTCATATCACACAGTCTCAAAGGTCTTCCTAAAGTTAGCATGCCCATAACTGTTGGTTGGTTACTTAGGATTCTGTTTTCTTTAAAGATCCTAAAAAGAATTTAGTCTTTAAGCTCTCTTCCCTAAAGTTCACATTCTAAACTGTTTACAATCAACCCAGGCGGCTATTTTGGAAACATCTCAAATAATCAGTGGTACAGGGCAAATTAGTAAACACTTAAGCATTTACTACAAATACAAAATCTAGAGTTTCCATTCTGTAGGGATAGGACGGGCGAGTGGGGGGGGCATATGGCATATGTATGAATAATAATATAAGGTAGCAAAAGAGATCCACATCATTTCAAAGATTTTGAGTATGACAACACAACTAGCTGTGGAGAATGGACTGAACAGAGATGGTTGGTGGCACCTTTCCATAAAGACCAGGAAATTTGAAAGGAGTTTGAAGAGAAAGGGAGTACATTCCAGGTAAGAGGGCTAGCTTGAGAGAATGCATGGAATGGTCATTTGAACAGAACATACACTGAGTAATGTGAAATGAGACTTTAAGTTAGGTTGAAGGCAGATTCTGGAGGACCTTAAAGAACAAGGTGCATATGTTTTCTCTCAAAGGTACTAAGCCACTCAAAGTCGGTTTGTTTTTTTTTTCCCCCTTTAAGTCATGGTATGACTGTAATTTTAAGATTTTGGCTGTTGCATTAAGATGAATTCATGAAGGGAAAGACTAGAAGTAGAAAGGCTAGAATGCGTAAACAAAAGCAAAATTATTATGATAGTCCAGATGAGTAGTGGTAGTGTAAAAGGGGAGGGATGCAAGAGATGTGAAAGTTGAGGGGAGTTGACAACTAAATTCTTTTTCTCACTTATCACATCCAATAATCATACCCAGGTTTTGACCTTGGACAAATGGAAGACAATGAGTGGTGCCCTGATGAAAAATGGCAAGGGGTAATGTTGAGGTGAGGGAAAGTGATGACATCTCTTTTGGAAATCCTGAGTTTGAGATGCCCATAGGATACTAAAGATTCTTCAATTCTCTTATTAACTATATCCCCGCAGAACAGAAGAAAACTCTTGTTATTAGAATGTTAAATTACAATGTAAGCAGATACAGTACTCTCCTTGCTTTTCTTTACAATTCCCACAAAGTTCTTCAGTTAACAATGATGTCATTATTAATGGGGTAAAGGTGTCATTCTACAAATTTAGCATTTTCCATACTTATGATGGTTATAACCAGCAAGATTTCTATAGAACTCAATATTAGATGTACTATCATGATAAAATGTTCTAACTTTAATGTTGCATCTAAGACACTGCAGTATATTTAACTTTTACATAACAGAATTAAATGTACAAATTATTTCTATAGGAGTTTCAAAAAAAATTCTCTATGCTGTCCCTACAATACTATGATTATCAGTACTGAAATAGGATTAAAAATTTACAGACAATTGAGGAATCCAAAGTTATAAAAAAACACTTTTAACATTTTAATACATATTTTAAAAGTATTTTAATTTTAACAGTATACCATAAAATAGCTTACAGATCCTTGCTTTTAAAATTTGTTTACACAATTAAAGATAGTTGATTGTGCTTTAGTCACAATAACTACTCAAGTTTTATCTGAGTCTAGATTTACTCAGGTTTTATCTGAGTCTAGATTTCATTAAGTTCTGGATATAAAGAACTTAATAGCTACAGCACAGTTAACTTAAACATCCATTCATCAAAAGATTGAACAGGTAAAATTTTATTGTTCCTTGAAAAATTACAAAAATTTAAGACCACCAAACTATCATTAAATAAAAATCTAGTATCCAAATTCCTTGAGTGACTGGTTTTTTCAAGAAAAAGCAAGTTAGTGTTAGGTTTTTCCCTCTCTCCAAGAAATTAAAAAAAAAAAAAGTTGAAACCCGAGGAGGGGGAAACAGCCTGCAAATTTTTTATTCTGGATACAGATCTAGAATGCAGTTTTTAAAATTGTAGTTGTGGTGGTGAAACTCTTTATGTCACTTAATATTTTACTAAAAATAGCTTAAACGTGTGACACTAATATATGAAATGATCAAATTACTGCAAGAAGAGCAGAACACTTTCTCCAAAGAAACCTACATGTTTAAAGTACTTTCCGGTGGTTTCATGAAAACAAAAGAAAATACTACTATCCCATACAATTTTTGTTCATAGAAAATTCAGCAAAATAAAACTTAAAAGGAAACACAAGTGATAGGCTAAAATATTTTGTGGTTCTATAAAATTCTTGACATGAACACATGGATTTACACCAAGGACCATATCCAAACCAAAGTACTTCACCAAAATATAGCCAATTCAAAAACTGGAACACTTGTATTAGTACTGTAGAGCTCAAACTTGACAAAGTACATCTTTGATTTGTTAGTTAAAAGAGCACCAGCAGCAAGTACAACAAAAGAGATTCTCAAGGAATACTGCAAAAAGAAAAACAGGAGCATCTGTGAAGTGCAATGAAATGATTATACTAGGAGTTTTAAATACCTGCTAAAATCTTTTAGTTATTAAAATACAACTCAGTACTAAAAATTTGAGTTGGGGGCATTTGCAACACCTCAAGTAAATGTATATTTGGAATTCTATAGTGTTACATGTTTGTCATAAAAAATTCTGGTCTTAAATAAGAAAATCTGGATAATTATGTCATCAACAAGTGGCAACAAATCAAGTCAGGACAATTTATCTAAGCCAAAATCACTACAATGAATTCCAAATATTCCCACAATCACTACATCTTGCCGGATGAATCAAACTGCTTCAGCCCTTAACAAATTCTCAAGTTCTTGTATAATTTTTAAGCACCTTGCAACAAAAAACTGCTCTACTGCTGGATTCTTTGGTAACAATTACACTTGGAATTTCAGAAATGACGTTACTTGTGGTCTTATTTGTAGAGCTAGTGAAGAGACTACTATTGGGTTTATAATTAAAAATTCCTAATTGGTCCTTTTTTGTGCCCAAGTGATGTTAAAAATGAGCTCAACAATACACTTTTTCAATATGAAAAAGGCTCGCATTGCAATGATCCCAAAGCTCCAATTACTTGGCTTGATTTATCAGGGAAGACACTTTGCAAAATATGGTCCCAATATTCTTTCATCAAGGAATCAACTCAACTGGAAAAATATCCTTAGGTATTTTTATCACATAAATACATCCACACAGAAGCTTAGGTGGATTCAGACAATGAGAAGATTGTGGAGGACCTGTTCACGGAAAATTAAGAAACTGAACTGGTAACTGATGGGTAAAAACTAGGTTCAAAAGAGCTTATCTGAACTTTTTTTAAAAAATAAGAATAATCAAGCCTTCGCATAAATACATCAGATCTCTCAAAGTAGAATCGTAACTGTTGAGGAAAAGTATATTTGAGATCATGCAGATCAGGGTTTGGAAAATGAGATTTTAAAAAATGTTTTGATAAAGATGTGCAACTACTAGGGATTTCAGGAAAATCTGGGGATGTCACTCACAAAAGCCCATCTTTTCTTTGTGTGCCCACTGGAAATTCTGTATCTATGCTATTGGCATGGTTTTGAGTACAGGCAACGTGTATGCAAAGTCTCTCCTACGTTGGATTTTCTTGGCAAACTTGAAGCAATCATGCTATGTTTGACAAAGCATGAAGTGACGACTGAATTGAGTCCGTCTGTGTATGTAGTACTGTAAGATCACTTAGTGTGGTAGCTATGAGGGCTTCCTGGGGGACTGCAGGATCATCTGATTTACAGTCTGGATCTGTGGGAGGACTGTTTTCATGTGAAGCAGTCAGAGTTCCTTGGACTGCAGTCAAGCTTTCAAAGGGGCCACTTTCTGCCAACGAGATCAGCTTTTCTGATATTCTGGGAGATGGATAGTCCTCATCCATTTGTTCAGTTTTATGGCTGTCTTCATTCTTGGGTGAACCTTCAACAATAACAAGGAAAGATTTCCATGGTGTGTTCTTATCATGTATCTACAAAGAAAACACACAAACATCATCATTAAGTAATTCAAGGAATAACACCAATAAATTTGATGTCTGATATTTATTTCTTTAAGGGTCTAGCCTTTCTTTTTTTTATTTTTTGGCTAGGCAATGGGGTTAAATGACTTGTGCAGGGTCACACAGCTAGCGCATGTTATGTGTCGGAGGCTGGATTTGAACTCAGGTCCTCCTGACTCCAGGGCTGGTATTCTATCCACTGTGCCATCTGGCTGCCCCCAAGGGTCTATCCTTTCAAACGAGTAGTGTGTCTTCTGTTTAAACTGGGGTTATGTGCACTTTAGTTTTTATCTCTACAAAATTGGATCTAGTACTAAAATAATTGGAAAATGCTCAGGAATCCTTAAAAAGAAAATAGTTAACTTGTTTGGGCAAATTTAAAACTAGTTGTTCCAGGCCACACAGGAAATGAGATGAAATCAATTATCCAAACTCATCTGTCCTACAAAAGAAAGGGGAAAGAGGGGGGAGAGTATAAATGAAATTACCTTAAAAATACAAGCCAAGAACCATAACCATAAACTTAAGAGATTTATACCAACCTATTAACATCATTATCATCTTCATTAAAAAGTTTTCAGTGGGCCAATGATAATGAATGTTACCCACCTCCTAACAGAGAGGTAAGAGACTAAATGTTCAGAATGATATACGCTTTTTGGACATGGCCAATGTGGGAATTTGTTTTGCTTAAGGTTGTTGTTTTTTTATTTTTCCCCTAGTGGGGATGTAAGAGGGAAAGAAAAAAAAATGCTTGATCTTTGAAAACAATAAAAAAAAAAACTTTAAGTGACTAATCATGCATTATGCTTTGCTTAATTCTGTATAAAGAAAACTACTCTATTCGTCCAAATATAGGTAATATTCCTTCCCTCCCCTGGAAATTTTGCTAATAAAAATCCTGAGTAAAGCTTGCAATGAAGCTGTTAATGTCAGAGATGCAACTTAAACTTTACTCTTTTCCCAACAGCAGCAGAAGTGTTAGCATGTTTTTCCCCTCACAATCTTGAACACATGCTAGAGGAACTTATGCTGGATGATCACGAAACAGAGAAGACAATTAACTTCTGCTTGCACACAGCCAGTGATGAACTATATCTAAGACCCAAGCCCCTAATCAATAGGAATCTCATTGTAATGACCACAAAATCTTTTTGCCTTATGTTCCTGAAACTAGAAGCAAAAAAATTAGGGAAGGATGATGGGAGGAGACCTCTGGAATACTCTTATCCAAAAAAGCTATAGTTCCTTTTCCACTTACAGATGGTCCTAAAGCTATTGCAAGAAGCTTGAATAGGTAAGGAAATGAAATTCATTCTCACAGAGCACACAAAGAGAGGCAGAGGTGATACGAGGGAGAAGGGGCAAGTGAGAATGACATATTTGTGCTTGGCCTCTTTGAAAGTTCTGAGGTCCAAGTAATCTTGATCAGAAAGTTGTTAGTTAGGGATAGACTTCAGAAAGCCTGCATTCCAGCTCAATGTGGGGGAGAGGAGAGAGGAAGAAGTTCGCACTAATTCCCAGAACGGAAGTATGTTCTAAACCTATAGCCAATACAACATGGTGAAAACAGATGAATAGAATGAAAGGATGGAATGGGATTGCAGAAGGGATTTCGAGGGGGGAGAGAGGGGAAAGGAAGAAGACAGTATCATTTGTTTATTTCATTGCTATCACATGTGGGGCCATCAGTGAGGGAAAAAAACTGGCATGATACTTCTTTCCAAAAGTTCATGACACTAGCATCCCCTGGCTTGATGAGAAATAATTGTTACACTTAATCTGAACAGAATGTTCCTGAGGTAGAACTTTGATCAAAATAGGGTAGAAGATAACAGAATTTAGAAAACCTCAAAATGCCATCTTTTGCTAGTTGCTAAGGCTCTCATTTGAAATATAAATGGGAAATAGAAGAATTTTGTTTGTCCTTTGTTCTTGAAGAGGATTGTGACATCAGGAGGTGATGCCATAACATGCAAGTGAGTAGGATTTAAGTGAGGGAGGGCTGTGCAATGTCACCAGTCTCACTTTCTCCTCTGGAGCCATCTGGGTCCAGAGGCCAGATGCAATGAGAGACTTTGGCCTTTTTAAGCTACGGTCTTTAACAGGTCTCAGTTTGACTGAGGCAACTCCCAATTAGTGATTAAGGCTAGGTAAGAAATGAGGCAGGGAAGGGCCTTTTTAACCTACAAAAAAAAAAATGAATCTGGGTTTCTGGCCAAAATATAAACAATTGCTATGTGTATTTACTCTGAGCCGATCAAGTAAGGCTTAGCATGGGATCGACCTTTGGCCAATCAATGACAGCCAGAGTGATATGGGTTTAAAGCATGGTCCTTAAGAAAGAAATCTAGCCAGCAAACCCCAAGATATCTTGTAAAGCTTCAGTGATCAAAATTTATATTCCTTTGGGAAGAGTACTGGCAAGTAAGGGTATGATACCCTATGTTTACAGAGGAATCTGACAGTTACATATTTCATGAAACTGCATTAAATATATTTGAGCAACTTAAAAACTCTTTACATAAAGTAAGTTGATTTGTTTTAAATGTTTCAGGACTTTTTCTCATACTTTCACACTCAATTTCTGATGTTCACTATTCTAAATTTCCATATATTTCAGTACAATAGCTCATTTATATATTTTTAGAAAAACAAAAGCTCAAATAGGCCAATATTTTAATGTGGTGCTTTTATGTAATTATTTTTAAGTTTTTTTTTCTTTCAAAGAGCTTTCATTTCTGGGATGCAGTTTATACTGGACCAATTCTTGGCCTTGAAGTTATCACACCACTATTGTTCTTCTCCTTAAAAAAATAAGAGAACTGAAAAAGACTATCTAGTAGCTAAGAGAGCTTACACAAAATTATGAGACTTTAATTATAGTTATAATGCACTGGTTCACTGAATTGAAAAAATATATTTAAGAGGAGAAGGAAGTAGATGAAAGGGAACACAGAAATCATATATTATATATTCCTCCTTACTGAAGTATGCCGCCGTAGAGTGGACTTGTCTGTGAATGTCCGTCCACATGCATTGCACATGAATGGCTTCTCTCCTGTGTGGATTCGATGATGACGCTGCAAGGCATTAAGCTGCGTGAATTGCTTACCACACTGATCACAACAATATGGACGTTCACCTGAAAAAAGAAATACTATTTATTGGTGAGATCTCTAATGTCAAATATAGACACAATTTACTAAGCACACTCTTAAAGGTCTACTTTCAAACTATGATGTTCTCTGGGACATAATTAGGCAAGAGAAAGGACAAGTGAGAGCTATCTATTTGTGTTTGCCTCCTCAGTCACAAAAGTCCCAAGCTCTGAGATCCAAGCAATCTTGGTCAGAAAGTTGTCAGTTCAGGCTAGGCTTCAGAAACCCTGCATTCCAGTTCAAGGTGGTGGAGAGGGGAGAAGGGAGAAGTTTGCACTTAATTTCCAGAACAGAAGTGTCTTCTAAACTTATAGCCAACACAACATGGTGAAGGTAGATGAACGGAATGAAAAGATGCTATGGGATTGCAGAAGTGACAATGAATAAAGACAGGACTTTCGTCAATTCCAATTTAATTTCTAAATAACATTATACCAAACATCTTGAACCAAGGCCACAAGTGCCAGAGGGTGGCACACCTGCAAGTAACATTAGCTCTATCAACCAAATCTATGTTAAAGTTTGCAGCAGAAAGGAACCCAAATCTTGTAGGGTCTAAAGCCAGCTCTATGGATGTTCGTACATGTAGCAAAAGAAACCCAGTTACTTGATAGTTTTTTTTTTTAACTTAATTTTTAAATTTAAATCCCATCCCTCTCACCCATACTAGCTGTGTGACTCTGGGGAAGTCACTAAACCTCTCGGAGCTCTAGGCAATGCCCTAGGACTTTGTACCAACCTGCATTGGTAGAGGAAGTTACTCATCATGGGGTTGCCTGGTAAAATCACAGGTTTAAACCCTAGATAGACAGATGGATGGAAGGATAGGCAGACAGAGATATGATAGATGGAAAAACCTGTAACTTGAGCACAAATCATAACTTTAACATTTTCTTGTCCATATGCCCATGCCCACTCAAAAAAATCCCACACTTGGGGATTTACTTGGTAAAAAATCTCGAACACATAAAAAACAAAGTCTTTCACCATGATACCTAGAAAAAGAGAAGTCTAACTTACTATCTCCAGACTGAATTAATTACTACTCTGATGCCTCCATTTCCAGCCACACTAGAAGCCAGGAAATATTAAATGTAAAAAATGGCATTTGTCCTTACTGAATAGAGAGCCAACTTTGGAGTCAGGAAGACATAGATTAAAGTCTTGTCTCTGAGACATACAAGCTGTGTGAGTCTGACCAGAGCCACAACCTCTCAGTGCCCCCAAGCAACACTTGAAGACTTCCAGTTTCTGGTGAGATGCTGATCTGTAATAGGTAGAGGGAGCTTTCACACTGGGACTTCTTTACATTGATGAAATCACTGGTCTACACCAAAACCATGATTAATATTCCCACTGAAACAGTACAGCTTTTTTTTTTTCAGGTTACAAATTGGATAGCCCATTCCATTACCTGAGGACTCACACAAACCTGATTTATAAACATTCAGTATGATTGACAAGCCTGGCTATGGCAATGGTCATAGGAACTCTCCTCCTCATTCCCCTTTTCTCTAGATCCCACCACTATCCCCAGAAAATTCCACTCTTCATGCAGAGTTACTGATTTTGTAATAAATCAAATTGCTTTTGCAATAGTAAAGGATCAACATCTTTGATAGGTCAGTAAAACCCAAGAGACATCATTTTCCAACTCTGCCCAGATGAAATAAATAGTGATAGTGACAAAAGAAACCAGTGCATGAGGAACAGCATCGGCGGAGCAAAAAGGAGAATCTTTGAAGATTTACCAATCCCTGCCTTCCCACAACCTTACACTGAGTCTTAAACTGGTTCTAGAAGGTAAGAAGGGCTAAAGGAAAGGGAATGTCTGTCCCTACTGAAGGGAAAAGGAAAGAAGTGTGCTTACAACCTTGAGTTCTAAATGTATTCCTCCACTCCATCCCCCAAAGTGATCACATATGGTAGTTAGGTTTTATGCTTCTGGTACTATACAAATAGATTGGCAGCTAGATTGAGAACCATACCACAACAGAGAACATTATTTTCTGTGGGAAAAAATGTTCCAAGGTACAAAAATAAAGATTTACATTTACATTTTGGGATTGAACCTATTTGTAAACTGAGGACACTTTTCCTGCAAAATAATTCCCTTCTCTATATAGTTCAAGTCATACCTGTATGGACTTTAATATGCTGGTAAAGTGAATTCCTCTGTGCAAATGTCCTGAAGCAAACTTCACATTTAAAGGGTTTGGATCCTGTGTGAATCCGATTGTGATGTTTCAAATACTCCTTGGAAGCAAAACTTTTGCCACATGTTTCACACATGAAAGGTCTTTCCCCTAAATGAAATATGAAAACAGATTTAAACAAAAACTTCTAATAACATACATAAAACAGAGATAGATAGAACCAACATGTATTTTGGTAAGTCATCATTGTTAATAACACATACCATTCAATAATAACTATCAATAACTGAGCCGATGCTTGGTAAAGCTAGAGTATAAGAGTTACCCAAAACTAATCGAGATTTTACAAGCAAGGGCCTTTAACCTTTTAATAGACTCTTTTAGCAGTTTGAAGACTTATGGGCTCCTTCTCCAAATGTTTTAGAATGAATAAAACATATCAAAATACAAAGGAAACCAATTACATTGAAATTCAAGTATCAAGTATTAAAGAAAAAAAATTCATAGACCTTGGGTTAAGAACTCCTGCACTAAAGGTATAAGTACTGCCTAGATGGTTGTAGTTTCTGAATTTTTTTAGGTATTCCCTCAAATAAAAGAATTATAAGAGAGGATTCTGGGAAGATGGCAGAATAAGGCAGGAAATTACCTGGCTATCCCAAATTCTCCTACAAATAATTCAAAATAATGCCACAAAGTGAACTTTAGAGCACAGTGGCAGAAATAATTAAAAGTTAAGGTAGAGCAGCTGTCCAGCCTAAGACAACTTGGGAGGAAGTTAGGAAACACCTGACCACCTAGAATGGTGGTCTGGCCTGACTGAAAGCGCAGACACCCCTTATCAACAAACAAAGGGGAAAGAGGGGATAGCTGTGTAGGTGGCGCCTCTGCTTCAGGAACTTTCGACTCACAGACTGTGTAGGGGTCAGATGGTTGATGAGGGCAAGAATGAAGGGCTAGGAGTGGCCTCAGGGCCCAGGTACACTGATCACATGTGGTCTCAGGCTATGGCTATGAGCAAGGAGTGAATACATACTGATGAGTGAGGTTGCAGAGGGGCAAGGGCCCTGCTGGCTGTGGTCATTCTCAAGAGAGCAGAGTCCCTATTCCCAGGGCAGAGGGGTGAGCTGAAGCTTGCAGCCCCTGGTGGGACTGTAGGGAGTAAAGGCATTTGGGGTGACAGTATTGCTGGGGGCCTTGGTCACAGCTAAAGAAGAGTACGTGAGGTCAGGTGCCCAGAGAGAGTTCAGAAAACAATAGTATGAAAAACCTGAAGCCTGAGATAACACCTCAGGACTAGAGCCTTATTCTAACATAAAGTTAACAGCCAAGAAATAAGCCACTTTAAAAAATCAGCAAGCAAAAGCAAGAGAGAGCCCAACCACAGATAGCTACTATGGCAATAAAGATCAGTGTTCAAACTCAGAAAATGACAGTGAAGTCAAAACAGCTACTTCTAAAGCTACAAAGGAAAAAAGCCAATTGTGCGCCATCTTGGGGAGGGTGGTAGGGAGGAAGGGAGAGAAAAATTTTAAACTCAAAAGCATATGGAAGTGATTGCTGATAAATCAAAATAAATTAATTTTAAAAGAAAGAAAGAAAGAAAGAAAGCCCAAAAAGCATTCTTGGAAGAGCTTAAAAAAGATTTTTAAAATCAAGTAAGAAAGGTTGAGAAAAAATAGGGAAAAAAGTAAGAGTAATATAAGAAAAATCAAGAAAATAAAGTCAACCAACTAGAAAAAGAGATCCAAAAACTTACCAAAGAAAATAACTCCTTAAAACTTAGAATTGGGCAAGGGGAAGCTAATGACTTCACAAGATACCAAGGAATAAAACAAAATCAAAAGAATGAAAAAAATAGAAGAGAATGTGAAATATCTCATTAGAAAAACTGACCTGGAAAACAGATTGAGGAGAGACAAAATAAGATTGTTGGACTACTTCAAAGTTATGATAAAAAGAATCTAGACATTATACTTCAAGAAATTATTAAAGAAAATTGCCCCGAAGTTTTATAACTAGAGGATAAAATAGAAATTGAAGAAAATCCACTGATCACCACCTAAAAGAGAGATCTTAAAAATGAAAATTCACAGGAACATTACAGCAACATTTCAAAGCTCTCAGGTCAAGGAGAAAATACTACAAGCAACTAGAAAGAAACAATTTATTTAGTGTCATGCTAGAGTCAGTATAACACAAAATTTAGCAGCTTCTACATTAAAAGACTTAAGGGCATGGAACACGATATTCTAAAGAGCACAGGAGCTGGGTTTGCAACCAAGAATAACTTACCCAGCAAAGCTGAGTGTAATTCAAAAAAAAAAAAAAAAAAAAAAAAAAAAGGATATTTAATGAATTACAAGACTTTCAGGTATTCTTGAGTAAAAGACCAGAACTGAACAAAAACTCTGACCTATAAGAATCAGAAGAAACATAAGAAGGTAAACATGAAAGACTAATTATAAGGGATTTAATAAAGTCAAACTGTTTATTTCTTATATGGTAAAACATTATCTGTAACTCTGTAAGTCTTACATATCTGTAAGAATGTTATCATTACTAGGATGGTTTAAGAGTATACATAGATAGAAGACTCAGGGTTCAGTTGAGTATGATGGGACTATCCTAAAAAATAAAAATTGCTGGGAGGAGGTAAAATGAAACAATGGAAGAACTGTTACAGTAGACAGTAGGAGAGGGTAGAGGGCTGGTAGTGCTAGAACCTTATTTTCATTAAAACTGGGCTTAAAAGGGAGTAACATATACATCTAGAAGGGTATAAAAGTCTTCTTAATTTACCAAGAAATAGGAGGGTGAGGGGACAGGATAAGGGAGGGACTCTTAGAAGAGTGTGAAGATTAAGAAATAGAAGGGTAAAAGGAAAGAATAAGAGAAGGATTATTAGAAAGGGTGCAGATTAGGCAGGCAGTGGTCAAAAGCAAATTAGACCTCTGAGAGGGATAGGGGAAGAAGAGAAGGATAAACAGTGAGGAGAACAGCATGGAAGGAAATACACAACTAGTAAAGTAATTCAACTACAAAGAACCTATGAAGGAAGATGCTACCCACCTTCAGAGAAGGAATGGATATACAACACTCACTCACTCTCTCTCACTCACTTTCTCTCTCTCTCATCAAATGGTGGTCTCTTCTAGTGTGTGGTGGGGAGGGAAGGAGGGAGGGACTTATATCAGAACTTAAAATGTAATTAAAAAAATTAATTTAATTTAAAAAAAAGAATTATAAACTTCTGATATAATGAGTTGCTTGATTATTCCCAAACAAGAATGTCTATGGGGGCAAGTAGGTGGCGCAGTGGATAGAGTTCCAGCCTTAGAGTCAGGAGGACCTGAGTTCAGGTCTGGCCTCAGACACATGACATTTACTGGCTGTGTGACCCTGCACAAGTCACTTGGCCCTCACTGCCTCACCAAAAAAAGACCAAAAAAAAAAAAATGTCCACGGATCTTTCTCAGAAACATAAAAATAGATTTGGGAAGAGGAAAACTACTGCAAAGCATATATGAACAATTCTTTAAAAAAAAAAAGGGGGGGGGGGTGGAGGAATGTCCAAGATAAAGATCACTTTAGTCATCCTGGACTGTGTGTACTCATGAAAGCAACACTATTCCACATAAATACTGTGTTAAAATATTTATTTTCTTCTCAGGGCATTCTGGTGAATGATTAAGTGTTCATCCTTTCATCCATTATGATCACTATTATTTCATATAGTTTCAGAAAAGCTAGCTACAGTGATACAAGAAGAAAAAGAAATCAACAGAAGCATAGCGGGGGGGAAAACCTCACTTTTGCAGATAATATTATATGTCCTATCTTAAGAACCCAGAAAATTTGTAAACTAAAAAAGTAAATGGAATAATTATTTCAACAATGCTGAAAGATGTAAAATAAATCCACAAAAAAGCCTGCATTTCTGTATACCCCAACAAAATACAGCTGGAAAAAGACAGAAAAATTCCATCACAAATAACTTCAAAATACATAAAATATTTGGGAATTTACCAAGACACACTTTTCTGTGTTGATAAATGCAACTACAAACCACCCTTTACACAAATGAAGACAGAAGAAAATAACTGGAGATTCAATAGGCCACAACAATATAATAAAAATTAAAATACTGCCAAAATTACTCATTTTGCTATGTCAATCAAACCACCAGAAGATACCAGACTTAGGGAAAATAACAACAAAATTCATCTGAACAAAAAGTCAAAAATCTCAAGAGAAATAATAATGAAAAAAAAGTGGGAAGTACCAAATATTAAATTATCAAAAATTGTAATCCCATGTTTGATAAACCCAAAGACCCCAAATGCTGAGGTAAGGACTCACTATTTGACAAAAATGTATGAGAAACCTGGAAGGCAATTTGATAGAGGTTAGTCATAGAATATCTCATACCATATATCAAGATAAGCTTCAAATATATATGTGTAACTTAGTCATAAATGATGATTATCATAAGCAAATTAAAGGAGCAAAGAAGAAAATGCTTCTCACAACTATGGACAGAAGAAAAATTCATGATGAAATGATAAGAATCACTGAAGATAAAATGGGCATTTTAGATTATATAAAATTTATTTCATTACATCAAATTACATAAAAATGATAAGTGGGGAAATATCTTTGCAGCCAATTTCTCTGCTAAAGGTATCACATCCAAGATATATAAGGAACTGATTCAAATTTATAAAAACAAAAGCCATTCCTCCAACTGATAAATGATCAAAGGATAAGAACAAGGAGTTTTCAAAGGAAGTAATCCAAAAAATCAACAGCCACATTGGAAAAAATGCTCCAAATCACTACTAATTAGGGAAATGAGAATTAAAACAACCTAAGGTTCCATTTCACACCCATCAGACTGGCAAAGATGACAAAAAAGGAAAATGACTTAAGAATTTAAATTGATTTCCTGTCATTTTTAGTTGATCCTATTTAGAGTTAATTGATTTTGTCCGATAATTGCCTAAGTCATGGTTCTTTGTCTCTGAATTTAATTCAGAAATTCAGCTGGCCTGTAATAAGTTAAGTTTTGAAATTCAGTTCTCCTACTAATCACTTTCATTCTTGTCTCAAAGAAATCTGCTATCCTTAAGGAATGCAGGTGGACACCAGAGAGTCTAGTCCACTATCTCTAAGCACGAAAGTGTCCTCAAACAATAAAAATATTTTAGTTACAGGAGTTCAGCTTTCCTCTAAATTACTTCAAAGTTTATAATTAATGGGAAAAACTACTATCACCATACCTTCAGCTCCTAGGAAAATATCAAGACATCTGGTGTTATCTCTGAGCACTGAAGCTAGCTGTAAGAGATGTATGACGTCCATGCTTGCCTGTACAATTAAGGAGGGTTCTATCTGCCCCCAGGAGCCAGGGAGTCAGCTATCTCTCTTCTGCTATCAATTGTCTCAGGATGCAGGTGAGTCCCATAAATCAATCAAGGATCCCTCCAAAACAGAAAGGAGGGTCACTAGCCCACTCTTCTTAATATAACCAATCATGTTGTCCTCACCTCCATGATGCTGCCAAATGTATAACTAACTGTATTATTTTTCTCACCTACTCAGTTCTGTTCTTTATTCTATGCATATAAAAAGGAGCTGTGTCTCCTTGTCTGAGTCTTTTGACCTAACTGAGGTAGCCATTTGACCTACTTTATTAATAGGTTAGTGCTGAAAACACTTGACAGCAGAATCTGGCAAAAAAAAAGGCTTAGACCAACACCTAATACTATATATACCAAAATAAATTACAAGAGGATATATAAAAAGGCCACAACACCAACAAATTAGAGGAGCAAGGAAGAAATTGCCTTTCAGATCTATGGATAAGGGGAGAGCTCACGACTAACCAAGCAAAAGGATCAAATAAGAGGGCCAATTTTGATTATATAAAATTTAAGTTTTTTTTGCATAAATAAAAGCAACTTAACTAAAATTAGAAGGCAAACAGGTAACTAGGGGAAAAAATTACTTGTGGTAAGTTTATTTGATAAAATTTGATAAAATATTCAACATATACAAGGAACTGGTTATGAGATTAAGAGCCATTCTCCAATAGATAGTCAAATAAGCAGTTTTCAAAGAAAGAAATTCAGGTTATCAACAACATTCTGAAAAAGTGCTCTAAATCACTAATGATTACAGAAATGCAAATTAAAAGCAACTTTAAGATTCCACCTTAAACCTAGTAGACTGGCAAAGATGACAAGACAAAAGAGGGAAATGAAAAACATTGAAGGGCAATGTTGGTGGAACTGTGAAATGGTATAGATCTTCTGGAAAGTTAACTTGGAACTACACCTATAAATCTATTATACTGTGCATACGCCTTTGACTCAGAAATAGCACTACTAGGCCTATACTTCGAAGAAATCAAAGAAAGAGGAAAAACCTACATGTACAAAAATATTTAAAGAGCTTTTTGGTAGCCCAAAACTGGAGACCAAGGAAGTGCCCCATTTGGGAATGGCTAAAATTATTTGTAATATATGAATAAAATGAAAAAGCATTGTGTCAAAATAAATGATGAAAGTTTAAGAGGAAACTAGGAATGTTTCTACATACCGATATAGAATAAAGTAAGCAGAACTAGGCAACATATCTAAAAAAACTAAAAAACTAAATAGTAAAAACTAAACTAGTAAGAACTAGGAAAACAATCTATACAAAACAATATTGTACAAAAAAACAAGTATAGACCACTTTTTTAGAACTCTGATTAGCGCAATAATAAACCATGAGTCCAAAAGAATGAAGAAACACCACTCTTTTCCTGCCAGAAAGGTTCTAAACTTAAAATACAAAAAGAAGCATACATTTTCAGAAGTGGAGAATGTGGAGATTTGGTTTGCAAATATCTATGGAGGGTTTTGCCCTCATTTCTCAATTGGAGGGGCGAAAGGGAGAGGCAGATTAAGAAAAAGAGACTGCTTGAAAAAGAATTATAAGTAGCAGTGTCAAAGACACCCTATTTTAAGAAACCTTCAAAATTAACAAAAAAAGTCCAACATATTATTACAAGGAAGCTAGGTTGTGCAACAGATAGACATGGAGTCAGAAAGACCTGAGTTCAAATTCTCTTTCAAAAACTTACTACTGGTATGACTGACCAAGCCACTTAAGCTCTCTCTGTTTCCTCATTTGTAAAAAGGAGGATCTATTAGCATTATCTCACAGGGTTACTGTGAGGATCAAATGACATAACATATGTAAAGCACTTTACAAACCTCAATGCACTATGCAAATGCTAGCTATTATATTTGTTGCTATATTAATTATGTATGCTACATTATTTTAGTTTATATTTAGGATATTTACATTGGTGTATATGTTAATGAAAGTATAATAAATTTTAAAAGAGGAAAGGAAGGAAAAAGTGGAGATGGGGAGAAAAGGGAGAAAGAAGGAATTTTTCTTTTATTCCTCAATTTGTGGGTTGGGAGTGGGATAGAGAGTGAGGAGTTAAAGATAGGGTTGCATCCACACATCCCTCAAAATAAAGAAGGGGGGGGCAGAAATATTTTTAAAACATAAGCGTCTGCATTTCTGTGTATTACCAACAAAATCTAGCTGGAAAAGATAGAAAAATTCCAACACAAAACTTCAGAGTACATAAAATATTTGGAAATTTATTGAGAACAGAAGGAAGGCTAAAAGAAAGCACAAGCAAACATGCTGAATTTATTGTAATTCCAAAAGCAAGCTATACATAAAAAAAAAAATACTTTGAACTAAGAGTTTATCCTTCAACTCAACTCATTTTTATAGCCAAGGAAAGACAGGTATCACAAAGCAAATGAAATTCCCAAACAATACCAAACATGTCTAACAAGGGAGACCTGTTTTTTAAAATTATAAGTCATTAAAATAGAAATTAAATCTGAACACGTACACTTGGTATTTAAGTCTCTGATAAAAGACTGGTATCTCTACCTCTAAGCTGTGTCTAACTGAACTTTTGACACTTTTAACTAGGGATTCATGATGTGAAATTACCAGGTAGAAAAATCAAGTCACTTGTTTTTATAAACTGAATATTATGTCAATTGACATCTCAGTTATCTTTCTTTTAATTTCATTTTTACTTAGGTTTATATAAGACAGAGATAATTTTACAAGCAAGGAAATGAACAATTTCACAGATGATCACTGGAGTAATTTTTAAAGATTCTTAATTAAATTCTCTATTTTATATACTTCAAATTGCCTGGAAAAGGTTCTCAATTATTTGAAATTATCGTGCTAAATCAGCAAGATAGATGTAAACTCCTAAATAAGTGGGGGCAGCTGTAGCATAATGGAAAGAACACTTGAAATCAGAAGACCTGGGTCTGAATCTTGGTGCTCATCTACATAATGTTAGGCAATTCATTTAATTATTTTGGCCCCGTTTGGCCATTTTAAAACTAAGGGATGTTCCAGACATTTCTAAATTCCTTCTCAGTCCTAGCATTCAGTGATTCTGTGACTTTTTCTCTTACACGTATGACAACAGCACACTTACCTGTATGACACCTTTTATGATATATCAGCATGTGGTTTTGAGTGAATCTTGCACCACATTCATCACAGACAAAAGGTTTTTCACCAGTATGAATTCTGAAATTACAACATTCCAGTATAGTTCAGAGTGCTTTTTACTTCAAAGTTCACCCCTGTCTCTCTCCAACTAAAGTACCCCACATTCCAATCTTCTTGAAATAAATCTCGATAAAAGCCATCTTTAGCAGACTAATGAAAAGTTCAAAGTAAATGGAGCTATCATCTTCACAAAACAAAATCTCAGATACTAAAATGATTATCTAATAATTTTATGAACATTACTCTATGAATTTTCATTTATATCTGTTGATTCCTCTTAAAAGACATCTGTAAAGAGACATCTTCATATATTTCTAGTTTGGCAAAGTTTTAATAAACTTCCATAAACTGGAAAATAATCACCACTATCTCAAGCTATACTCATTAAAAATCCCCATGTAGCATAATTAACCACAAGTTTCTAAGGAACCAATTTTTAACTGCCACAAGATTTCTAATTCTCAAAAAAATATTAGGATAGTATTCATTTTCTAAGGAATCACTTTTTGATTAACTGTAACATATCTTCGAACTTTTTTTTTTGCTTTTTGATGAGGCAATCAGGGTTAAGTGACTTGTCCATGGTCACACAGCTAGTAAATGTCAAGTGTCTGAAGTCAGATTTGAACTCAGGTCCTCCTGACTCCAAGGCCGGAACTCTATTCACTGCACCACCTAGCTGCCCCTACTTTTCAACTTTTAAGAAATTCATGATAGTACCTTATTTTTATGTGCTATAGAACCAATCAAAAATGGGAAAATGACCTTAAAAAGATATATAAACCTAATATTAGAAAGCAAATATGTATGGATTATGAGATTTTAACTACCACACTTCTGCCTCCTACCACCCTCCCCACTTCAAAAGGCTGAGATAAATAGTATTCCTCATCCTACCGACTTTAAAAGTCAATTCTTTCTGTCTCAGAGATAGATTCATGAAGACATGGTAATTACAAGGGTTTTGTTTGTCACTGACTTACCTTCAGATGCGGGGAATTAGAAAAACTCCAAATCATTGTTTAAAAATGCTTAAAGAGACTGTTATGGAAATTTGTTAAAATTCTTTAACCCAAGGTCAACTAGGTGATACCAAAAAAATAAACGAAAACCTATCACATTTTCCCTAGAGATTGCATAATTAAGCAAGCAACAAGTCTTTATTAATCACTTCCTAAGTGCCAGGCATAATATTAGTATTTCAAAATTCAAAGATGGAATTAATGCAAATATGTACTCAAGTTATCAAGTACTGACTGGGGCCTCCTTGTGGCTGAGGAGCCCTAATGCAGTCTCTAACCCTTGATTCCAGTTAATATTTACAGAAGAATAAATTCCAACTCTTCCTTAGAAAACATATGGGGAGAACAGACCTTTAAGCCACTATGGATCTTCTAGTTATGCAGTACAGGGCTATGGATAAGTGTTCTGAGAACTACACATGCCCTCTCCTGGAGCCTGTGGTCTCTATGTCTCAACACTGATAAGTTTTCCAGGTCAGATGGCAGAAGATCGTGTAAATTTAGCCAGATGGATCAGGAGTTCTTAACCTTATTTGTCATGAACCATTTTGGCAGTTTGGTTAAGTCAATGGACCCCTTTCTCAGAATAATGTTTTAAATGAATAAAATAAAATATGCAATATTACAAAGGAAACTAGTTACACTGAAAGTTTCATCAAAATATTTTTTAAAAATTCATGGATCCTAGATTAAAAAATTCTGCTTTACATTAAGCTTGTGGAAATGACAGTTACTTTCTGCAATTCCTAGGCAAAGAAAAGGTATACCCTCCACAGACTCTCCAATCCAGAAACCACAAATTAACCATTCTTTCAGTCTTTAAAAGGCCTTAATTCAAATAAGCAAAAAACTCTGGCCAAAGTCATAGCTCAGCTTTGCTTTCTTTAAGCATAAAAATATTATCTGGAAATAAAAAATACTGCATTTTATAAGGATGCTTCCTTCCGATGTCACAAAGTGTTGTCTGAGTCCCCAACCCATAACTTTTTCCACAAGTACAGTGAATACTATTCATACCTCATGTGTGTTTTCAGTGCAGAAGGCTGAGAAAACTTAGCTTCACACTCAGTGCACCCGTATGGTTTGTCCCCTGTATGAGTCCGTTCATGAAGCCTCAGAGCTGTTTTGGAGCTCAAGCCCTTGCCACATTGCTGGCACTGATGGCGCTCCCCCCCACCTTCATGAACCTGAAGAATATGCCTTTTAACATCTTTCTTCCTCTTGAATTTTTTTCCACAGAGTTCACAGGGGAAATGGCGCTCACTGCTATGAACATGGCGCTGATGGCTCTTCAAATTACATCGGTTTGCAAATGTTTGGCTGCAGGTATCACAGCGATAAATTATTTCAGCAGCAATGCCATGGTTATGTTTGATATGTTTCAGGAAACTCTTCTCATACAGAAACTCTTTTTCACAGGTGGTGCACTTAAAATTGCTCTTTTTCTTATCATCGTCTTCCTCAGCTTTTTTCAAAGCTTCCTCTAACTCAAAACTGGCATCACATTCCTCATTCTTTGGCTCCACGTTTTTTGTCACTGGCTCTATCACCATCTCCACATCAAGTATGCTTTGGTCTTCTGGAGATTTGTTCTCCCCAATATCATCTGCAGCATTTTTTTGCTGTTCTCTGAGTCTCCTTGTGTACTTCTTCTTAGGGATTTCAACAAATACCTTCCTACCAGCCAGCCTTCCACTAGCTCTTCTAATTTTAGGATAGGGAGGTTTCATAACTTCTTTTTTCTTATCTACTTTGTCCTTTGACTTTCTCAGTGGTGTCTGTGGTATTAAACCATTGCTATTTCTTTCTCCAGGGTAATCTGAAGAACCTGAAAGGTTATCAGCATTAGGGACTTCTACCATTATACTCGACTTAGAATCAAGTAGAACATCATTTGTTTGAGAGTTATTATTCTCTCCTGGCTCCTGAGACTCTGAAAAGTTCTGAAGCTCTAAAAGTACTGATTCTAACATCTGTTTCTTTAACTGAAAACAAGTTTCAGATAAGTCTAAACACTTCAGTTTTTCAGCCATTTCCAACATTCTCTGCACACGGTCTTCTTCTACCTGGACCTTTGCAGTATAGACAAACTCAAGAAAAGAAGCAAAGTCAACAACCTGTACTTCATTTAAATATACATTTGTCCTTGTTCCATCCATAGTCGTCTCATTAAGGAACATCTCCTTAAAAAACTTGCTTGTGGCTGCCAGTACAGCTTTATGAGCCACAAATTCTTCTCGTACGCCTTGATATTCCACACTAACAGTGACATCACACAAGTGACCAAGAAGACGTAATTGATGCATTTCATTCAAAAGATTAATTGGCGATGATTTAGACTGTAGCAGAACTGCACCACTTTCCATCTTTCTTTCTGAAAACAGCTTTGAAAAGAAAAAAATAGTTAAAATAGGATCAATTATTGACAATAAAATATTAAAAAAATAAATGTATTGTTTTAATTTTATAAAGGCTATAAAAGGTTCAAGGGTCCTTCCACCTCCTCCAACCTTAAATATAGGCATAACTCAAAACCTAGTCACTAGCCCCCTCTACTCTTCTATTCTCTCTGAGAGCTCATCTAAAAGATTTCAATTATCAACTAAATGTGGATGACTCCCATGGACTTCAACCCCAATAAAAATTTCATCTCCACCTCTGGAACTATACTGTACTCTGAGAGGTGGACTTCTGTTTTATCTTGATCCAGGCCTTCACTCCACTGGCAATCTCTCGAGCATGCCATAACTCCTGCATTTGTTCCCCTGCTTTCTATCACCTGTTTATGTGTTATCTTTCCCTATCACAATGTAAATTTCTTGAAGGACTGGCACCCTCTGCTTGACAACAGTAAGTACTTAATAAATGTTACAGCTACTTTTCTATCAATGATACTGAACATAAATTCCAATTATGTATTTTTCTATCTTCTTGCTAGGCACTTCTACTCAAATACCCTGAAAAAATAATATTTCATTTCTCCAAATTAATCTCCACCTTCAGTTACTAAGAAACCATTTTCCTAGTTATCCACAACTTTATTATACGTCCTCATCCTCAATCCTTGGCTACATCAACAGTCTCCCAACTGTTTTTCAAACAATGCTGAATTAATCTTCCTAAAACAATCTTCACTGGTTTCCTAACATTAAGGAACAAAATTTAAAATCCTTAACCTGGCATTAATGGTCATCCATAATTCAGTAATTCACAAATATGTTGTCAACATTTAGTTTCTTTATCTCCTATTACTTCCCTAATAGAAACGCTCTGCTGCACCCAAGGTGGCCTATTTCCCCTAACATGCTACAACATTCCTCTCTGCTCTTTGTAGAATACTCCCCTAATTCTTTTCCAGTTCTCTATGTGTTACTATGCCTTCAATTCCAGTTCAAGTCTCACACCTTCAAGGATGTATTCCCAGATTGCTCAATAGAGAATACGGTCACTTAGCTGAGAGCACTTCATTGTTATGTATATTTATACACACACACACACACACACACATTTACATTTCTCTCTCCCCAGTAAAACTGGAAGTTCCTTGAAGGCAGGGACCTCCTTTTACCTATCTTTGTATCACGTTACACATATGAGGTACTCAAATAAATGGTATTGGTTGATGTTAAGTATGAAAACCTGGTGGAGCTAATGGAAACACTGCAAATGGCATGAAATACGCATAGCTAAGGCTTGGCTGGGCCATCAGACTTCAAGATTTTTCACCGCGTCATTAGAATAACTTCGAAGAGACCAAATCCATCCCATATGTACCTGTCTCCTGGCTACGAGATGTGCCCTGTCACCTTGGCTTAGGAGCCCCGCTTCCACAAAGTTGGAGGGCTGCAAGATCGCCTGGTTCCGCACCCTTACCTAGGGACAGGTTTGGCACCTGCACTACCCAAGGGGGCCGGGCGTCGGACTCAGATCCCCGACCACGTGAAGCCCAGGATGGGCCACAGGGGCAGCCCAGCCCAGGCCGGCTGGGAGCGCGGTAGCCGCTGAGCAGGGCGAGGGGAGGGCACTGCCCCAATCCCCGGTAATTTCTCCACACTCGGGGCCACGCGTCCTTACCAGGGCCCCTCCCGTCCCCGCCCGGCGGCTTCCCTCGCCGGCTCCTGGTCTGCGGAGCCCCCAAGCCCCGCGCCCCTTCACCTAGGCCCGCGGGGGCGCCCCCACGACATAGGCGGGCCAAGGAGGACCAGGGGCAGCCGCAGCTGCGGGGACGGAGGGGCTTGGAACCGGCCGGGACACTGCTCTGGGGGCCGGGGCCGGGACACTCACCCGGCGCTGAACATCCGCCTGGACGAGGTCCGGGGAGGAGGGATATGGGGAGGAGAAGGCAAACGGGAAGAAGAAGGAGGCGGCCGCCCGGGCAGCTCAGCTCCCTTCTGCTCGCAGCTCATTGGCTGCCAGGGCGCTCCCTCCCCCCGCTCCACAGCACGCGCCTCTCCCTCACCGGCCGTTGCCCCTGCCTCTCCCCGCTCCCCTCCGGGAGGAGGGGATTGAGGGGCGTGCTTCACAGTTCCTTTCCTACGGCACCCGCCCACAGCAACTACCAGAGCGACTTCGGGAACGCCATCTTGGGTCATACGGCACGACCACGCTGGGGTCACGTGGCGGACGTGCGCTTCATGATTACGTCATGAGCGCCCTCCAGAGCCGCTAGCTCCGCTTTTCTGGCTGCCTCGGGTGGCTCCCAGAGTGAACGCTGCTCCGCTGCCCGCGGGCGCTGCCCTTACGGCTCCCCTCCCGCCACCCCGGAGGCAGGTGCAGGGCGCCTGTAACGGACGAGGTGCGAGGGGCTTCCTTTCCCACGGCCGCACAGCTCCCATCAGCCGGGGCTCAAACCGCGATCCTGGGGCGGGGGCGGCTCCCCCGTGCCCAGACCCAGGATCTTAGGAGTGTCTTTGCTGTAAACCGCACTCCTCTTTCCTGCAGCGCCCGGCGGGGCCGCCAGTCACTAGGTGACAACCCAGACCCAAATGAAAAGTCTGGGCTTCCAAGATAATGGTAGCTCCGCTCACTGAGCCCAGAATCTCCATGCCACCACACCTTGCCCCTGCAGAGACCCCAAATACCCATGCGGGCGCTCAGTCTCCAGAATAGATTATAGACCAACTTGAAAACCTTCCTGAGCGTCCTACAAACATCACAGGTACCATGTCCTTTTTAATACCTGTTCTAATCCACCCTTTATTCAGCACCCACAGTGTAAGTGTGGGGCATCTTGGGAAAGTGAGAGTGCTGGCTGGCTTCTGGAAAACCTAGGTTAAAATTCAGCTTTAGATATTTAAAGGTTTCTCTCTGCATGTGAAGACTTTTCCCTAATCAGAGGGAGTCTCGGATTCATTCATTCAAAGGCAACAAGGAAATGCAAAATGATTAAAGATAAGTCAAAATAACCGACAGCTGGAGTGTAGATAGAAAATGCTAAAAGGCCTCTGGGGCATAGGAGTAGAACCCAAGAGTGAAGTAAGGGAGGAACACTGACAATTCATCAATGTTTGTGCAAAGCACTGTGCTAGGTTCTTGGGATACAAAGTAAAAAATGGTACAGTGCCCTGACCTCTAGCAATGGATTGAGATCAGGAGGCACCATAATCCATACTGTTTCCATTTAATCCCATGCCTTGTTATTTCAATGCCAGTAGGATGTGCCATTGCATTTAGTTGTGATGATTCAAGTAAGTATTTTTTTCAATCGAAAAAAGTTGTATAAATTAGGCCCATGTCTTTGTCAATAAAAGCAGCTAAGTGGTGGTGCAATGGATAGACTGCAGGGCCTGAAGTCATCCTCCTAAATTCAAACCTGGCCTCAGACACTTTGCCCAGTGACCCTGGGCAAATCACTTAACTTAATCACTTAATGCCTCAGTTTCCTCATCTGTAAAATGAGCTGGAGAAGGAAATGGTAAACCACTCCAGTGTCTTTGCCAAGAAAATCCCAAATGAGGTCATGAATCCACAGGACTGAAATGACTCAAGAAACTTTGTCAATGGCTTTGCATCTTATCTAGATGTTTTATTTGTTTTAAACACTGATTCCTATAGCTAACTGTTCACAGCTTAGAAAAGTTATTGTTCAAAGTTAAGCAGTGAATTAGTCTTACCTGTTTAAAAGGATGAAACTCATTTTGCTTAAAGTTTTTCCTCTGAACACAAGCAGTAACTGTCATTTGTTTGATCCTCTGGCTCTAGTGGTAGTGCAGTTAGCAGTAAATCTTCAAGAAATGTTTATCACCTAGCTAAAAAATGAAGGCATTTGCTACTGTAATGTTGTCCTAAAGGCATATTATATACAAAGAATGCTACTTTCTTGTAGCTTTAAAGAAAAACTTCCTACTCTTTAAAGAAGAGAAAGGTCATTCTATAAGCTCTAGAACAGCTAGTCAATCAGAATACAATGATTCCATAAAAATAAATGAACACCATTAGCAGTCTTCCTTTCAAATATGATAGACACAAATACTGAGAACATAATGTTTGTAGATTATATATGTGTTTCTAAGTTCTGTGACCTTTGGCCTGTGACCTTAGTTTCCCTATTGAAATTAGATGAACCAGGTTATATTAAACATGGTAAAATACAAACATGACACTAAAATTGTATTTTCACTTGTGGTTCTTTGTGATTTCCTAAACTGCTGGAAAGTTTATACAAAATTATAAATTCATGAATAATTTTCTATCGTATAATATCATTTTGCATTGTAAGAGCTATTCTGTCAATATACATCATAATTCAACCATACTGTTTGCTTAAAGATTCAAGTAAGATGTTTACAAAATCTAAGACAACCACATCAATATTAGTCAAGCAAAAGGTAAAATTTCACTTTCCATTTTTATTCATTTCTAAAAATCCCTAAATCCTACCATTGCACGACTGATTTCATGTTTTTATTCTCAGAAAGCTTCTAAAATGCATTCTATACATATATACAAATAAATTAGTCACTAAGTAACTGATACCATATCACTTTCCCTAGAATTAGCTTAATATAAATATAAACATAAATGTAATCGTTTATACAAATGGTATGTAGAATTTAATATAAAAGATTATTAGTGGCATAATACATTTTATAATATGTGAATAAAAGTTCCAGGAACTAAAATCTATTAAAAGAAACTTTTTTTTTTCTTTACTGATGAGAGTCTTATATCACTTCTAAAAAAACTCAAATGACTTACCATAGCATCAAAATGAAACATCTACAGCTGAACTACGATTTAAAAATTCCTGATCATGTTTCATTATGTGATTGCAGTTTATCAGTACAGATCTTATTGTTACATATATACCAAGGAATGATTATTGGTACTAGTAGTAACACTGGTGGCTATGACATTAGCAGTTTTCACAACTGCATTCTCTGGTTTATACAATCTACCTTGGTCAACTGACCAAATTTCAGGTGTTGGCTCCTCATCCATACACACATCTGATAAGGTCTCAATTTTTGACCAATTGTGGTCTTTTTTAGTAGTAAGATCTATCAGGAAACTTCTCCAATGTGCATTTCGATCATGGATCTAATGAAAATGGGAGAAAAAAAAGAGCACTGGTTAAAAATGCTCTTGAGAAATGCCAGTGTGTAGAAATCGTAAGTATTCTAAATCATGATAATGGACATTTCTAATTAGCAGTTAGCAGTGACTTATTAATATCAAAATGTTGACTAAAATTCTGTCCATGATATGAAATAGAAGGCTGATTTCACTATTCACTACTGCTGACTCTCATGAGCTGATGCCCACTTCAGTTGCCTCAAATATTAAGTTCTGAGAATTGTTGAATATAGCCTGGGTAAAGCTTTATAATTTGGTTATTTTAGTTAGAATATTTCAAAAAATCATTTGAATTAGGTTTTATTACAATGTACTGGACTAAAAGTAAGGAGGCCTAGTCTTATCTCTTACATTAGCCCTGTGATTTTGGTAAATCATTTAACTCTTCTTGGCAACAATTTCATCATGTCAAATCTTTGTCTTCCCTTCTTATACTTTGAAGAGTGTCACTATGGTCCTATCATAATAAGCAAAGTTATGAAAATAATATTTGACATTGTCAAGCCCTTCTACGAACAATGGCATTTGGCAATACTACTTATTCAAAAATATTTGGTAAGTAGTATCCCTCATGATATAGCTCATATCTTTTAAACAAAAAACTTAGGACACAGGTGGGGAACCAGCAACCTCTAGGCCACATGTGGCCCTCTAGATCGTCAAGTGCTGCCTCTGACTGAATCCAAACTTCACAGAACAAATCCCCTTAATAGAAGGATTTGTTCTGTAAAACTTAGACTCAGTCAAAAGGCCGAACCCAAAGACCTAGAAGGCCACATATGGCCTGGAGGCCATAGGTTCCCCACCCCTGACTTAGGACATACCTGTGCATATAATATTTAGCACCCATCTATAGAATTCTAAAGAATTCTACATTTTATATAATCATTCTATGTAATCAGCAATCCAGAATTAGCTTTGGAGTAATAGAAATATTTGTGCCTTTTATGCTTAACATTGCCAGGGAAAGATCACTGAAATGCAAGTCAATGAAATACCAAAGTCTACATAGTAAAATGTACCTACTGTTTAATAAAAACATATGAAACATCAAAAATAATTGACTGTAAAGCAGGAAAATAATTATTTATGTTGAGGCAGCATGGAACAATGGATAGGTGATCAGCATGGAGTCAGGAAGGCCTGGGTTTAAATCACATATCCCTCATGCTCACTAACTGTAACCATGGGCAAATCACTGAACCTCCTTCTAAACATCAAATTCTTCATCTATAAAACAGAGATGATACCTGTAATATCTACCTCATATGGTTATTGTCAAGTTCACTGAGATAATGTATATAAAATACCAGATAAATATCAGCTACAATTATTAGCTTTTATTTCTAAAATGTTTACACAAATATTCTCTATTTTCTCTTCAAAGTATCCCTGTGTGGTCTGCAGGGGACAGGATTTCATTTTCTTCAAATCCCTTCATTTTATAAATAGTTAAACTCAAAGTGAACAATTATGCAACTGGCAGCATCACAGGACAGGCTGGATAAGTAAGCTAAGTCTATTGACTTCCCTACAATAGCACTTTGTACTTGATTTATGCCATCTTCTATTTTAACCAGTACTACCAGAAGACAGAAAAAACTGACTTTTACAAAGTTATTATCTAAAAACCCAGTAAGAAATATGATCAGAATTTACTGCTGTTCCAGAATCTGAGACCAGTTACCCCTGTTAGTTATTCAGTGTGTGCTAATGAGGTATGATTGTCAAGTGGAACAGTAACTTTGTTCTGTTCCATTGACATAGGCTACCTCTCAGCCAGCCACCTCATAAACATATGCTGTTCATCATAAGGATGGGCTGGCAAGGGAGCACAACTCTATTAGTCACAACTGGAGAAACAATCCAGAGCATACATTATTCCAGTATTGTTGTTTTCATATTTAGAAAAGAACAAGGGCCAAAAATATTTGGGGTAAAAGAAAAATAAATTGGTGAATTTGGGTAAACAAAATTCTTAACAGTTCATATTAATTTCAAGCAAATGGATATACATTCAAACTGTGGAGAATCAACTTACCGACACATGCCTCCTCAACGTCGACATGTCTGTAAAGGTTCTCTCACATGCCCGACACTTATATGGTTTTTCTCCTGTGTGGATGCGCTGATGGCGTCTGAGAGCTCCTTGCTGAGTGAAAGTTTTCCCACACTGTTCACAGAAATATGGACGAGTCTCTGGAAACCAGTATCAAAATCAGTGAGTTATTCCATCACACAAAATTTTAAAAACAAGATTTTTAGAAGGTGAAAGAAACACAAGACCTGCCCGAAAGAAAACAAACAAAAAAACTGAAAACAAACTGGTGCCCATCATTTGGCTAATGGCTAACCAAACTGATATATCAGTGTTACATAGTAAGAAATGACAAATATGAGAAACTGAAACCTGAGAAAGCTCCTATGAATTGATGCAGAATGGTCCCTGTAACAGATAATGAAACATACCCCTGTTTTCATTAGAGAATTGGGGAATACAGGTTGTGCCCGGTATCAAATTTTGTATTTGTTGTCTTTGCTTAACTGTTTTTCCTCGTCATGAGAAGCCTCAGGAAAGGGAAAGGGTAGACAGGGAAATGACTATGACATAAAAACAAAAGGTATCAAAACAGTACAGTATAGTGGTAGAAAAATCATAGGAGTTCAGAGTCAGAAAATTTAGGTTGTGAGTCCTGTTGTGAACTAGTGCAACTCACTGAATCTTTCAAAGCTTCTGTTTCCTCACCTGTAAAATGAGGATAATAATAGTTGTACTAGCCAGTATGAAAATTCAATATAGTAAATCTTTTAAAGTACCAACTTTGTAGAAAGTATCAGGCTAGGCAGTGGGAGTATTTTAAAGTTTAGATTAAAGACTCAGTCCCTACCCTAACGTAGATCATAATCTACTAGTTCAAACAAAAGAATTTAGGAGTGCTTTACATTTATACATAAATGTGTAAAAATGTATGCTATTATTAAGGAAGATAAACAAGGTGTTCCAAGAGTTTAGTGCAGTTTTAAGTTACTATTTAAAAAAAGGTATCAGTGCAGTTTTAAATTAGTAAAAATTAAAACTTCATGAAAACTCTTAGGACACCCTGTATAAGAAAAATGTTAATGCTATAGTACATATCAAAAACTTTCATCAGTATCAATCTGTTGATTTCCAAAGAAAATGCCTTATTTGCTTTATTCTTTAGTTATATCTTTACCTGCATGAACATTACTATGTTGAGCTAATGAGGCTCTCAATCCAAATGTTTTTCCACACACATCACATTTATAAGGTTTAGCTCCCATATGACATCGTTTGTGGCATTTTAAGTATTCATTGGTAGCAAAATGTTTTCCACAGACATCACATTTAAATAGCCGTTCTCCTAAAAACATAAAATAAAGTCAAGGATTTGCCAATGTCTTGATATCAATTTTGTCATTGCAGCTTTCATCATAACTTGAGAGCTAGAAGTGTGAATATCTTTAGCCTTCACATATCACATACGTTTCTCTTGCATCTAAATTGTAAGATAACACTGTCCCCTTAACTGTTAAATTTGCACACTGAAATTTTGTCCATGTTTCTCTATCTCATTCTCTATTCAGTCACGAGGATAACTAATGACTTTTATTTATGCATGCCTAAATCTTTTTTTTCAGACTGATATACTAAAAATTCCTTCAAGAGGTTTTTCATATTTAAATTTTTTTTTAGATTTATTATTTTTTTTTTTTTTGCTTTTTGGTGAGGCAATAGGAGTTAAGTGACTTGCCCAGGGTCACACAGCTAGTGAGTGTCAAATGTCTGAGGCTGGATTTGAACTCAGGGCCTCCTGATTCCAAGGCCGGAGCTCTATCTACTGTGCCACCTAGCTGCCCTCGCATTTTAAATTTTTAAAGAACATACTGTGCTTATCTGGTCTCCCCCCTCTTCTTAACTTCCTTGTTACTATCAAGGTTATCACCATTCTCCCAGTTACCCAAGCTTGAAATCTAGGTGTCATCCTCTATGTCTCTCATTCCCCATATCCAATCTGTTACCAAATCCTGTTGCCATTCCTTGCATATGACCCATCTCCCATCTGACCCTGCCATCACCCTGGTGTAGACACTTAGCACCTCATTCCTACCTGCTACCTGAAACAGGCTAGTCTCCATCTCACCTCTCTCACCACCACAGTCCATCCTCTACTTAGCTGTCAAATTGATCTTCCTAAGGCATTGGTCTACCATGCCACCCACTACAAAGTAAACTCCAGGTGGCTCCCTATCACCTCCAGGATCAAATATAAAATCCTCTTTTTGCCACCAATTCTATCATAACCTACCCCCCTCCTGCTTTCCAGTGTTCTTAGATTTTTCTCATTCCAGTACAATGTGTTAATCCAGTGACACTGGTCTCCTTGCTGCTCCTCCCACAAGACAACATCTTCCAACTCCAGAATTATCACAGTTGTCCCTTATCCCCAGAATTCTCTCCCTCTTCATCTTCACTTCCTGGTTTCCTTCAAGTCCCACCAAAAATCTCACCTTCTACAAGAAGCTGCCCCTCTCCCCTGCTCCCCTATCCCTCTTAATGCTAGTGCATTCCTTCTGTTGATTATCTCTAATTGATATATATCTTGTATATATATTGTATATATCTTGTTTGTACTAGTAGTTTGCATGTTGTCTCCAGTAACTTTTTCTCTTCTGGCCAGCAACCCTGAGGATCTTCCTCTCCCAGTTTGATTTTGTGTTTGTGTTTGTGTGTGTGTGTGTGTGTGTGTGTGTGTGTGTGTGTGTGTGTGTGT